GTCCCAAAACTACTCCTACTTTCAAAAAATTGTACATGACTTCATTTCAAGATGACTTTCAACAACAGATTTCATTAAGTGGTGCTTCAACGGCACATACTTCCTTGCATTATTTCTAAATTTGCTATTTTCGGAAATTCAGATATTCAACGAAAGTGAGACCCTTGCCATTCTTTTAAGTTCACTTCTACCTGTGGGTGGGGAAGCGGTTTTTGAAAAAATGTTTTTTTTATAAACTATTAATTTCAAACACAAATTACGCAAAGTCTACTCATTTCTTCAAAAAAATTGTACATGACCTTTTTTAAAGAGCTGATTTCTTACAATAGACTTCATTGAAGGCAAAAACATCTTTCTTCAATTTTGTTATTTTGAAATGTTATCTTTTTGCAATTTTCGAAAAAACTGAGAGTTTGCCAAAAATGAAACTTATTTTTTTACCGTCCCTTGATGCATACGAGGAGAAAATTTAAAGAAATAATTTAAAGGTTTTTTTGGGAAGGAAATGTTTTAAAACTTTTTTAATTGCCTACATTTCGCGCACAATTCCACGAAAGCTACTCATAGTTTTGAAAAAATGAACGAGACCATATTTAAAGATGTCTTTAAAGAACAGATTTCATTAACGAAAAAATCTACAATATTACATTTGTTGAATGTTCCAAAAAGTTGCACTTTTGCAATTTTCAAAAAATCAGGGTTTTCAATTAACATAAGACTTGCATCATTCTCTTAAGCACCCTTACGCTAATCTAGGACAAGGTTTAATCAAAAAATTTGTTGCCATTTTTGAGAAAATTTTTAAAATATTTTTGAGGCTTCATGTAAAGCCCTCAAAAATAAAAATATCCGTTTGAAACTCCCAAAGCCACGAGTTCGTTCAGATCGATTGGGGAATATCAATTTTGGGGAAAACCGACTGAACGGTATAGGCACTAGCGTTAACTACAGACGGCCGGACATATAAACAGACAAACGTTTTGCCGTCAATCGATTTTCCAGCATCAAGGATGATTACATAACTATATCTTCTTACGATGTAAGTGCGGGAAAGTAAAAATCTGTATCTTGAAGACAGATGATTTGCTGCAACTCGTTTTTTCGGTATCATGGTCCCACAAAACATGGATTCTCACTACCCAACGTGTTAGATCAAGTAATTTACAACGGGACCAAAAGAAACAAGATTTATTCATTTTTTAGTTGCAAGGGCCCCGTAATAAGAGTTTTCTGTCGTTAAATCGCCGTTTTTACTTCCCCGTATTCATATGGAGTAATATATATAGTATGCTCATAGGGAAAGTTATGTAATGCTGCGAAAATTCGATTTCGAGATTTCAACGGAAATACACATATTGTGGTCCCCTGATACTGAAAAAGTGCTTGTAAATTTTCTTCACAACATCCGTCCGTGTGAGAACACTAGCGTCTAAACTTTTCGTAGGATTGTTTCCGAAATGGACATTCCATGTCGACCTGGTTCGATTCGAGGCGTTGAGATTTTTAAAAACTTTCTTCAAAATTTACATGAAGCCCCCCGGACATTTTCAAAGTTTTCTCAAAAACCGGCTCCAATTTTTTTCTTTAAATTTTATGTAAAAATAGAGAAAAATACACTTATAAAGATGACATAGGTCCGATTTTCGGGGTTAACTCTGAATTTTCGAAAATTTTGAAAATGTTCGGGTATCTTGCTTCAACTACAAAATTGAAGATAGATTTTTCCATCAAATAAAATTTGTTCTTCGTAGGGAGTTCTTTCATTAAGAACATGTAGATTTTTTTAAAAAATAGTAGTTTTCGCGCAATATTGCGTGCAATCTGTGCAATTTTAAAAAATAACAAAAGCAAGATTTTATTGAAAGTGGCGCCAAGTTTTTTCTTTAAACTTTTGGTAGGGATAGTGCTAAATGTACTCCATAAGATGACAAACGGCATATTTCTTGTTTTGTTTATTCGAAAATTACAAAAAAAAAAATAAATATTTTTTCACTTGTCTCTAACGTTGTTAATATTCATATTAGCTCCAATTGACAACATAATGATATTTATGAGTACATGTGCCTTAAATAATGTCATAAAGTTTTTCGAAAACTCGACCGTTTTCTGTGAAAACTAACACAAAATTCCGCATTTTCAGAAACAATCAAACGCTATTTTCAAAAAACGGCTCCAATTTTTTTTCTTCAAACTTTTGGAACGGATTGTACTAATTGCACTCTTTAATATGACGTAAAGTTCATTTCGTTTTTATTTAAATTACACAAATATATTTTTTAAAGATCTCTCACGCCGTTAATATGCACATCTCCAGCAATTTGTAAACACTATTGTATTTGTGAGCTAAAGTGCCTGAAATGACTTCTAATGAAGTTTTCGAAAACTCAAAAAATTTCTGTTTCAGCTTAAGTTAAAGAGCTTCAAATTTCGAATTTACATTAGCGCTTAAATTTCATTCCGTTCTACTATTATGAAACCGAAAAATTAAGAAAATTTCAAAAAAATGTACTTTGGGCGGCGATAGATGGCAGCTGGCAGAAGTATATGGCAAGTCCGAAGGGCTAGCCGAGACCAAAGAAATATAACACTAATACGGGAAAGTCTGTTTCATTCTGTAGCACCACTAGCTTATTTCTCGCCCTTACTTGGTAATAAGAGAAAGTTTTGTAATCGTGCGCCGGAAATCGTGTCTTGATGCAGCGAAAGTGGATAAATCTTATTCCCATGTTTAGTAAACTAAAGCACGTTGTGTAGGAAGAATCCGTGTTTTGTGAGCCTTTGATACCGAAAAATCGATTGACGGCAAACCACCTCTGTTCTTCTGCATACATCTACGCACAACGGTAGCGCCTAAATCGTTCAGATGATTTTCTTCTAAAATTGATATTCCGAGATCGATTTGGACGAACTCGGGGCTTTGGGAGTGTCAACTGGATATTTTGATTCTTGATTTCATTAATTTCATGTATGTGGATTTTCATGGGACTTTCATGTGGACTTTCATTAATTTTACATGAAGATCAACATTTTCTAAAAAATGGCGCCTAATTTTTCGATTAAACTTTGTCCTCGGATAGCGTAAATGTTGCAGGTCTAATTTTCATTGAAATCCCCAGTTTTTCGAAGATTGCAAAAGTTCAAATTTTTGGCGTCTTCTTGCTGGAATATTGTAGACGATTTTTTTCGTTAATGAAATCCGTCCTTCGAAGACTGACCTTGAAATAAGATCATGTTCAAAGTTTCGGAAATATGATTAATTTGTACGTAATTTTGTGAAAATGTGAGTAAATTTTTTTAACGATCTGTTTTCTCAAAAGCGGCTCCAAGAGTCTCTAAAATTTCTTTTCGTGTGTATCAAAGGATGGTATATAACAACTGAAGCTGGTCCCATTTTCCACAAACTCACTGTATTTTTGAAAATTGCAAAAATTTAACACTTAAAAACTACAAATATTTAATAATGGTCTTGCACAAGTTTTTGAGTAAACGATAGTTTTCATGTACTTTGTGCTTGAAGTAAATGCATTTTATAAAAAAAATCTCTAAAAACAGCTGGAAACTTCTTCAATTTTCTTATGACGGATAAAATAAGGGTCGCAGACCTCATTTTCGTTGAACTCTCTGAATTTTCGTGTATGATGAACTCTTTGAATTGAAAGTTTAGATGTAATGCGAGAAACTATGTGCTGAAAAACCATCATTACAGTACCGACGACACAGTTCTCTCGCCACGTGTGTGGTACGTCATGTGACATGCTCTATAGCAATCAGCTTGCGAAGATTTGTTTACTTTTGCACAGCCATGGTACAACGTTGCCATTCATCTTTCTTGCACGAAGTTGCAGAGGCGATAGATGTGGGGAATGTTATAAACATGATATCAAGAAGTATCATCGCCTATTAGTAAGTGTTGTTTTGAAATTTCATTAATTTGTCATGTATGTGGAGCCAATTACGTAGTAATGTATGGCAACAGCGCATCTAACTGTAGCTCCTTTATCATTACGAAAGTTTCTCTATTATGCGTAGGCAGTGTGTGGGAAAGCAAAAATGTGGATGTTATTGCGATTTTTTAAATAATTGCATTAGATTAAAGGAGTGATTATGCGAAAAATACTATTTTTTTATTTCCATTATATTATATTCCTAAGTATTTTATAAAATACTTAAGAAACCTGAATCTAGCAATATAAGTCTTATCAAAACAACAATAACACATTTTGTGGTTAATATAAGCAGTGCTTTTATAAAAGTTTAGGTCACGGAACACCCCCCAAATGAATTATTGATTTATTAGAAATAATTATATATTTATAATTTATAATTATTTATAATTTATAATTATTTATAATTTATTATTAATTAATAATTTATTAATAATTCCCGAGGTACCGGAACGCCGTTCCGTAGCATTCCGCCCGAAATCAAGCTCTGGTGGTTAGTAAAAAAATACTGGAAACAATTTTATTATCTAAAGTATTTGAATATGCAAAGAATATTCTGGAAATAATGTCTAGCCCAAAATTATGTAGAATTTGTAAAAAGTCAGAGATGTTAAGTCTAAGTGGGAATCCCGCGGATTTTGTACTTAAAATATCTTCGTCACTTGGCGCGATCCTGGCGGCTATAATTCCAAACATTTCCATTTTATAAGTGAAATCTGACGTGTGAATAGATGTTAGAAAGGACTGTCAAGAATACCGCGAACACGAATATCGCCAACCGGAAGAAATTTTGCAGGATATTTTGTTACGGTATGCACATTTTGAATTTTGGGTGAGAGTTAATGATACGATGATAATTTTCACTCCTTTTAAACTGTAAAGTTGTAAAAGTGGATGGGAAGCAGTGTATTAAAATGTTATACGTGAAAATGAATCTGTTATTAACAATAGGGTTATTCGTATTGGATGCAATTTAGAGTTTTATAAAAGTAGGTTTTTACAACGAGAATTTTTCGTATACTATGACGAAAGTTAGATCTACTTCATGTTTGCAGAACAATTGCCATTGGTTATACTTCAGGATTATGACAGTGGAATACTTTGTATTAATGTCTGTTTCCTCTCGATCTTTTAGAAAGACAAAAGGACATTGGACAGTCTCATCGTAATTGAGAGTTTATACAATGAAAGGAAATTATGAATTCGACAGGTTGTTGTACTTATGTCATACACTGTGTTCATTGCCCAGGCACTTTTTCAAGAATGGTAACAACGGACATAGAAGATTTTTCCTATGAAAAATGGTATCCAATTTTCAAGGATGAAGCTATTGAATCTATGATTATACCTATTGCTAAGGATGAATTGGAGTATTTGCGTGTCGGCCCTTTGATATTACCGAAGGAAGCATGTAGAAAGATATACCATGATTCATCAACAGAACGAAATTATTCAGTTGAGTGGAGTGATGAAGATGATGACTCTCCGGAAACAGAGGTTAATAACATTTTGTATTTTTTTTGTTTTGCATTTTAATAAACCACTAGGGATACATAATATATTATAATATTACTATTTACCATGTTGCAAATAACACTACTAATAACTCATGTTTTTGATTGTTTAATAACTTTACCTCTAGTAATTGATTCCAGTTAAGGTATTTATTTCTTTCGATAAATTTAAATATCAGTCCGAGACTTCTAGCTACTGTAATTTCATGCAGTGTATCTGTAGCTGTCATTAAAAAGTGGACAAGTTGAGTTATGTAAAAAATGTATATATTTATTATCTAAATACATGGACAGTTGTGTTCAGTTTCGTACATCAATGTTTCAAATAATTATGTGGATAATAGAATTCTCATTTATAATATCATTCGTATTACAGATTTAATTAAATTTATGAATGTGTAACGTCAAATCATAAACATTGTAGAAACAAGTATTGCTGTTCTTTCTTGTTTTTGGATGTTTGATGCGTGTTCTGTTGTTGAGCATTAATTTCGCAAAAAATGTTATGTTAGTATTTATGATCATCATCTTCAGGGTCCTAAGTGCCTAAGTTTTGGTTTGTTGTGAGGTGTTCTTGCCATTTCCTTCCATATTTTGAGATTTTATCTTTGACAATGAAGGCACCTAGATCTTTTCATATGCCTTCATTTCACTTGTAGTCTTATAGCTAATAGCCTGCAAATAATCATAGGAACCCAAGAAAACATGTGCAGATAATCTTCTCACCCATATGTCACATACAGTTTTTACTGTTTTTTTGACTAAATAAATCTGAATCTAAATAATTTCTTTTTAGTTCTTTTAATTCTTTTTTCTTGCTTCTTTATCCGAGTCGAATTTTCACTTCCATGAAACACTGTTCATAGAGCCCTGATTTTTTAAATGTAATCTTTATTTAATGTCTTGTGTTTTTAAAATCCTTTTTTCTTGTATTGCAAAGATATGGAAATTTTTGAAGTTTGTTTTCAACTTCATGATAAGATAAAAGATTTTATAGCTGATTAAATAATACAATTGTACAAATTAATAACTTTATTTATATATATGTAAATAAAGTTATTAATTTGTACAATCATATTATTATTGATAATTATCTTTTCTCTCATTGTCTTTGAAGGCCATAACCCTTTGTTTTTGTTGAAGATATAATTAAATTATATTACCTTGCAATGTTAATCAATTGAAATAATGTTCTTTGTAAATATTGCTCAGAGCTTGCCAATGTGATTTTATCGTGAAGAGTATCGTGTTTAGTGATGTGTTATTTACTATAAATGTCTAGATAGTGTTTCTTGCCATCCGTTAACAGCATCTATGTAAATATTAAATTGCAAGGTGGGAAAGTGTCCAACCCTGTCTCAGACCTGCGTTTATTTCTATCTTCTTTCTATCAACTATTTTAATGTATGTATTCCCCCCCCCCCCTGTTCTTATAGGATGTTAAAGAAAGTCCTTCTTGTCATTATTTTAAATAACTTCTTTTTTCATGCTACCAAAAATCCTTACTTAGTCTACCAATTACACACCCCTTGTTCCTTCCACCATGAATTTCCTCCTCGCTGGAGTGGCACAAAGTACCGGTTTAAAGGACTTAAGTTGTACTCTGTACTAGTCTTTAGCCTAAGATTCATCTTCGATTGTTTCAACAACGGTGCTTATGCTTTCCTGAATTGTTTTTGCATTTAATTTGTAGGAAGCACATAGCAGAATAATGGCTCTCTCTACAGAGTAAATCTCTTTTCTTAAATATGAGGCATACAATTACAAAATTCTGTTCTTCCAATACATACCCTATTGGCCAGCATTCTTTGTTATAACTCAGACACTTCGTTAGATATATATATCATACACACACACATATATACTTAATTCTCTTAGGGTGTATTTAATTTCTTCCATTGATTTAAAATCAGTATGTGTATTGATTCAATACTTCCTATTTCATTTGTTTCACTAGTCAAATGTCTTTTGAAAGAATTCCAGCAAATTCTTCTGATATTAAATTATAGTTCAATTAATCTTCCTTTATTTTGTTCAGCTCGTCAAAAATTACTCCTTTCCATGTTTTCTGTGCATGTCAGCTCTTCAATGTCAGATATTTATCTCTCCAAGTTTCCAGTTTTATTTTCTGTTTCTCATCTTATCGTAGTATTTTTTCTTTTATAAACTACTTGAATATCTGTGGTTCATTTAGATATTTTAAGTTAGCTGCCTCTTTTCAGCTACCATTTCTCCCTCATTCCTTACCTGAAATCTTTGTGTATTGAATATTTTTCTTCTAGTGCTCAGAGCTTCTAAAGTAGCTTTTGTTACAGTATTTTCAATTCTTTCCTCTGTTCTGCATTTATGTTCATACAAACTATTATGGTCTCACTTATTTTGTTTAGATGTTTCAGATATGAGTATTTAACACCCTTTTTGTAGAGGAAATTTTTTAGTAGACAGCTAATTGGTAGTTTTCCGTAGTAGTGATTCATAGTGGTCTCTCCGATCAATACCAGATGAATGCTGGAGTAGAACCACAACAAACGACCCACGTACTGCAAGTGATCTTTCCTGCCCCTTCCTTGTCCTATTGTACCCCCTGACCTCATATTCTCACCCCTTACTTACGGACACACTTGCATGCATTACCACACATACCAGGAGACTGGTCGGGAGCTCAGAGCTTGTCCTGGCTGGGTGCGGTGCCCTCCTGGTGGGAGATACCTGGTTGGGAAAAAGCCAGTTAGACGACTGGTAGGTCGATGCTGGTTCTCACCAACCAATGGGAAAATCACTACTTCTTCTCCTCCTCCTTCTCCTCCTTCTCGAGAAAAAATACACTACACTTACGGGACTAATGTCCATAGCAGTTCATGCCCCTGGAATCACTATTCAGTCAATCAATTAATGAACTCGATCTTGTTGAAGAAAATGCACTTTATAAACTTCTTTAGGTGTCATTTTTTTATTTTTCTTCCAGTCAGTTTGTGTGATTATTTTATAAATGAGTAAAAAGTGATCAAAATTGTTGTCTTTCCCCTATTAATTCTGATACCGTGAACTAATTTAGATATTTTATCATTTGTAATAACACAGTGTATCAGAATATAGTGCCTCTATTGAGAAGCGCAATTCACGTATGAGAGGGTATGTTGAAGGAGCAGACTGACCAGGTGTTAGAAAGAGTGGAAGTTCATTAATAATTTATAAAGAATAATGTAGATGTTTAATATTGTACCTGCCCAACTGTCACCACAGAGAACTTAAGAAGGAGACGAGAGGGAAGTGAGAGAGAACAATGAGGGATAATGACGTAGTGAAAGAGAGGGAATGCACTCATGATAGCGTCAGCTCATTACCATGGCCTCTAATTCTCTGTCTGGCATGGTGTTAGCATTTTGTGTGAATGGCTGCTGCTCCAGCTGTGGTGCTTTTGTGATGTGATATGGCAGCAATCTGGCTGGTACCAGCCATCCTGTAGATTTGAGTGTCTTGTTTATGTCCCATCATGATAATTATCGAAATCTTTCTGGAAGCTTATTTTAGAAAAAAAGCTTGCAGGGTTGTGTCAACATATTTTCCATTCAGTTAATACTGGAATATTCTGAATCAGAGTTCTTTAACAGAAAGGTAGCATAAATCTGCAGAAGAAAATGAAAGGAAATTCACGACATTGAGATGAGTTTCATTGGATGCTTTGAACTTTTTTGTTTGTAACTATCTTCATTCCCCCATCTCTTTAAAAAATTCGAATTTGTTAATTTCTGTTGTTTCTAAAGGTATTTAATTAACATGTTTGAACTTGGAATTATAAACTTTTGCAAGCAACGAAGTTTGAGGACGGGTCATATCAGATTTGTTTAAAACATTTTTAAACATTTCTCAACATTTTTGAAATTTGTTCTCAAGATCTCGCCATTATGATAACTTAAACTTATAATATATTGACTGATAATATGATAACTGATAATATATTATGACTGTGTTCCTTTTTTTGAATTTTCTTCCATATCTTTCTCAGCATTTTGTGTATTTACAATATGTGGTTGTCCATCAATTAATGTAATAATTTTAATGATATTGTGGTAGTAATGTTAAGTTGCCTTTGATGAGATACGTGTAATTGATGTTTATAGTGATGCATGTGTAAACTTGGCATACTGTTGAGTTTTGTGCAAAAATAATTTTTTTTTAAATGTGGAGATGTAGTGTGCAAATTTAGCCTTATTAAAAATAATTTTTTAATTTCAGTTAATAGTAGTTAAATAACTCAATTCATTCATATATTTCTTTTGGTGTGTGATGCTCAAGTTATGGTAAGTTTATTTAATACTTCTTTCATTAATCGAGTTGTTGCTTTGAAAAATGAGTCTTATTGTCTTCTTTTTTCCCCCAACATTCATTAGTGAATGAAAATAGAAAACTGGAATTGTTCATTTTAGCACACTCTCTTAAAGAGTGGTAGTAAGTTTGCTTAACTAGTTTTTCCAAACTGTGAGAACAATAGTTGAATAATAAGTTGGATAATGAAAATTTACACTTACACTGCTTATTTTTTAATAATGAATTCTAAGGGCTATTCTTCCATTGTTATTTTGAGCTGTTTTGAAGAATCAAAGAAAGGTTTCAACCACAACTTTTCCTGTATTAAATATTACTTGCGCAAGTTTTCTGGATACATAAGCTCCCTCCTCACCCAGCACTGAATAGCCCAGCACATTTAGATACTTAGGTTCGACTCGTAACAGCATGTACCAATTTACAATGCTGGCAACCACCACCTCGAACTTTCAAACCAAGCATAGCATTTCTAGGGGCACGCGTTTGCGAGTTAAGTTCATGCCCATAGTTGGTATGCCCTTTTAAGCCATGACGTAGCCAGGGCTCTCCTCTCCCCAAGCCCCTCGCTATAGAATATCAAGAAAACTTGTGTGTAGTACGTTTTTTCCTCTCTCAGTATTGCAGCAAGTTATTCAGTTTTTGCTCCAACATTAAAAGGGAAAAGGTGTGTTTCAAATATCTTATTATCTTTTATATAAAAATAGGGCACATTAAAAATCTATCTTCAGAATGGACTCCTAAAAGAACAATTACAAATACTATATTTGTAAAGCCTACTCACACTACAGAGATCAATCAACTAATTTGCACTTTTAATTGCAGAGAATCCTCTGGGTGGGATGCTGTATTGTATGTAATGCTTAAGAAGTGCAAATGGGGTTTATTACAAATACTAGAGCATCTAATAAACAGCTCACTTAGTGATGGTATATTCCCAGATATTCTAAAAATTGGTATAGTGAGAGACTTTTATAAGAAACAAAATGTAATTAATATAAATAATTATCGACTGATCTCAAAATGATCACTGATCAAGTTTTACTAAACTTTTTGAAAAAGTTGTATATCGAAAAGAATACTATACAATTTACAAAGAATACTATATAATTTAATGGAATGTAAAAATGTTTTGCAAAACATCAACATGGATTCAGAAAAGGCATGTCAGTTCTTACAGCAGCATATGATTTGCTAAATGAATTATTTTATCAGCATGAAAATTATCTACATACAGCAAGTATTTTTATAGATTTATCACAGGCTTTTGATACAGTACCCCACAACTTATTTCTTAAAAAAAAATGAGTGTTTGGGACTGAGAGGAAGTATAAATAAACTCTTGCAGTCATACCTAATAAATCATAAGCTATGTACAGAAATTTTTTTTGGATCTGAACATTCAATTGTTAAAATACAGTCAAAGTTTGAAACATTTATTTCAGGTATTCCACGGGGGACAGTACTTGGTCCCCTACTTTTTTTATAATATGTAAATTATTTTTCCAAGACTAGAGATCATAAATTAATATTATACACAGTATTTAACACCGGAGTTAGCAATGCTATAAACATAATTATACTAGATGAAAAAATGACACTATCAAGGGAACAGGTATCTTGCTCTTAGAAATGAATAATTTAATGTTAAATACTGAAAAAAACAACTAATGTAATGTACTTTAATTTATCAAACTAAGATTTCAAATAACTATACTCATGTTGATGTAAAAAATGAAACTATTAAACAAATTGAATGCCATAAATTTCTTGGCATATATATTGATAAAAGCCTAACTTTCTATAAACAAATTAATGAACTAAGTAATGAAATAAGCCCTAATATCTACTTATTAACATATTTTATGAATACGCTTAAAACAATATATTATGGGATAATACACCCATATATTGAACATGGAATAGAAATACGGGGTAGTATAACCATTATGAACCATATTAACAGAGTTATGATTCTACAAAAAAGAGTCTTTAGATGCATTTTCAAACTAAAACCTACAGGAATTTGTCCCTACGAATTAAAAGAACTAATGGAATCGAAAACGTATTAGTTTTATAATTTAATTTGTATGTATATCTTAAGTACTTATGTATTTTCTTATTAATTGTATATTGTGTGTTAATTTTTGTTTTCATACCCGTTTTAAGTTATTACACTTCGACGATGCTTGAAACTTTCACTGTATATCTTGGCAAATAAAAATTATCATCATTATTATTATTATTATTATCATCATCATCATCAATAATAATCTTCCAAGTGAATAATATTTCTTAATTTGTGGTAAAACATTTACATCAAGGATAGTTCATGACGTTCAGTGCTCTCCTGTTCAGGAAAGTGACCGATAAATTGAGAGTTGCTGTACAGAGGTAAGGCCAAAGTATGGCCATACTCCTAAAGAGTACGACTGTCGTCATGTCTTAAAATTAATGTTGTAAATAACGAGCAAGCATGGATGAAGCTGATCCAATGTTATTCAGAACCTTATGCGTTGTCACCAAAGTAAATCTGAGAGATTTTTAATTTTTGTTTAATTTTTATAAATGAAGTGAAACCTATCTTGAAACATTGAAGGTGTTGGTGCAACATTTTCATTGAAAGATGTTAGGTGGTTACAGTATAAGCATGATTCATCGTGTGATATAATTTTAAAAACATCTTTAGAAACAGAAAAAAAATATTTTTTTCTTCTTCAAATTGTTCAGAGCATGTATAACCCCCTACTGAGAATGGAACAAAGGCATCTCAGTTCATACTCGGATGCATTTAACCATTACGCTACGAAGATGGCCAATGCTCCAAATGCTCCCTTTCATAGACCAGTGTATTTCATGTTGAGAAACGTGTTTATAGACTGGGATGAGAGTGGAATAAAGTTCCAGAACAGCAGTTATTTCTGAAACACTGAGCCTAGATAGTGCTTCAAAAAAGGCTTAATTCATGGTAGGTTGACCATTCACTGTCTTCTAAAAATATAAAAATTATAGAAATTGAAATGGTTGGTCTGGTTTTACTTGAGGTAAATACTGACTAGTGTTTTGAGTAAAACTAATTAATTTTTTTCTATAAAATTCTAAAAAGTTTTCAGTGCTGTTGTTGAATCAGATCTTGTCATATTTCGAGGAAATTGAGTTTAAAATATATTTTTCTAAATTTTTTATTGAGTTTCTTTAATTACATTGAGAATTTATTTGTATTGCAAATATTTTTAGTGTATGTTATTTATGTTTTTATCTTTTGTATTCTCCATTTTTAAATAAAGATAGTTATACAAAATTTAATTGTATTATTATTGACATTCCTTGGTACAAAATAAATTTAAGATAATGAAATTTATATACAATGTCTGAAGCTATTGTTGTCCAGGGATCTACTAAGCAAATCATGAATTAAAAGAAAACAAACAACAATAATAACAAAATGCTTAATAAAACAAGAAGTTCATTTTAGCCAGTCAGACTTATAAAACATAGAGAGTATATTTTAGAAAACTTATTGAAGCGAAAATAAATTTAAAATAATTCTAGGATTTTGAAGGAGCAATAGAACTTTTAATTCTTCTTCTGAAAAATTAGAATTTTTGATTTGTCTACTTTTTTGCAATACTACAGATATATGTAGTTAGCATTTGCAATGTACTGATGACTTCACTTCGACATTTTGAGTAATGCTCACCAGTCTATACTATGTCATTGCTGTGCTGTAGCTTAATTCTGAAAATTATGGAGATTTTCTGCAATTAATTTCTTATATTTTAAGTTTTTGTAAATATATTTGATTAGTTTGATGTCACAAGTGGTACATGTTAATATCTCCTTTCTGCATTACTGCACATACATTTTTGTTTACAATTTTTATTCTACAGAAATATTTTTCAACCATTAAGAGTTTTTGGGTTTTAAAATATTTAGCTTGTAGTGAAACTGTGCTGATGTGTGTGAAATTGATGCTATATGTTCAAAGTAATGAAGGAATGATTTTTAACGTCCGTCAAAAGGAAGCCCTAGTTTGATTTAGAAGCCACTCTGCTAGAAAATGTTTTCCCCATTTTTTTTCACCGTTTAAGTATAAGTTTTAATATGCCAATGCAATTGTGGAGGTGTCTAAATGTACAATAAAAAACGACATAAACATTATCAAAATCTATTTATTAACGTATGATAGAGAAAAATATAGAGATTTGTATGAAACAAAATAGTAAAGTTCCATGAAATGAAGTTTTATGAATCTAACAAAGTGTATAAAGAAACATACAGTAATAATAAAACAGTAAAAACTTTTACTAGATATTATTACAAGATATTTACCAAATTGTATTTTCAACATTTTATCATCACATTCACTGATAATCAATACATCAATCTATTACATATTTTTGTATTTCAGAATAGTATCAATTAATTCGTAAACATTGGCAAAGTCATCTTATTTTGATAATTTGACATAAATCAAAAGATAACTTTGTCTACCTATCAGTTGGTATGGGACTTGTCATATGAAAGGCTCAATAGAACAAGGGGCTATCCCACATAGACATAGTTCTGAGATAATGGAGGTTTTGCTTGAACTTCCCTCATGTAACTCAATACATTTTAAACTTTTTAATACAGTAAACTTGTGTCTATATAGTAAACTACAGTCCATACTGGATTTAAGGAACATATTAAACTAAAAGAATAATATCTGAAGTTTTGTATAATGCTAATAACTCAATTTCACAAAAAATGTGGGATAGCCGTTTGTTCTACTGAACCTTTCATATTTGCCACTAAATTAAACCAGCCCTCTATTAAATGTATTTTGCTTAATTGTTACATTGTATTTCTATTTTAGTCATATTTTATATGAATTGCTTGATTGATTTTCAGCCACCAACATTTCCTGTGTTCAGCAATAAATTGAAAAATGCTTTAAATTCATTGGGTGGAGAAGTATTTGTTAAGACAAACTGGCATGCTCCAAAAGTGAGTTTTAATTTTTCTAATTAACTTTCCATTTTAAGTGTTGTTCTTTTCTGTAATGCTGAATTCCTTATTTCAGGATGCTACATGGATAACTACTGGAAGAACCCTGAAATGTACATCTTTAGAAGACATCTATTTGCTTTTGAAAAGTTCAGATTTGATATCTAAAGATATTTGCCATGAATTTAAGGTGATTTAGGATGATAATTTTGACTTGAGTTGCTATGTTTTATCTGTCACTAATAACTGACCTTGATTTTTTCCAGACTGATAATGGGGATAATGATGAGAAACATGTTGTTGTTATCAAAAGATGGATGGACTTGCATCCTGGAAGTGAATTCCGTTGTTTTGTCAAGGATCACCAATTGATTGGTAGGATTTTTATTGGAGTGTTATTGGGGATTTTTGCAATTGTAAACCAAGAGTGCCACATGAGAGAGAAAAAATTACTAATAGAACTTTTTGGTGTAGGGAGTCTTGGAATTTTAATAATGAAAATTTTGAAAGTTAAATTTCTGAATTTTGAGATCGCTCCAAAAATTCAGAAAAATATATTAAAGATTAATGTATCTCTATGTTATGCTTTTGTTTAGTGATTTAATATCCTTGGAAGTAAACATTTTTAACTTATATGGTGTAGAAAATTTATTAAAAAATTCCATATATTTTTCATAAGTAACATAAATAAGTAAATATAGTATTGTAAAGACAAGTTAATTTGGCCTTGTGGTATTATTGTCTCCTAAAATAAAAAGATGTCTGGAGCATGCTACAAGCTGATGGCTACAGATTCACATAGCAAATGATGAATCTGTGAGGCTAGGTACTATGCGAAACTGAAGTAATAATTTTGGAGCACGCCACGATTCAATCATCATTTTCGTTTCAGGATAAAGTAATACCACTGGCCGAAAGTAAACTATCTTAACAGTAATGATCTTAAGAATGTGTTTTTCAGATATCTCTATTTCTCTTACAAAGTTTTATCAGTTTTGCATAAGCTTCCTACAAAACAGTGGTAGCTAACTGGATTCCAGTCCCCTATTTGAATTTGATTTCAAAATTTTGTCTCTATTTGAATAAAATCCTTCAGTTTTATTACAACGATTCTCTCATAAAGAGTTAAAATAATATGTCAATTATTGCAAATACTGTGAGTTTTGTTTTAATTATGTTTCTTTGTAATTGGACGGAATTGTTGATACTGATGAAAGTTGGGAAAATGCTGATAATCACTATTCAGGTTCTCCAAAGGGAGATTATCAACCCGTAGTTAATCCTTTTCGAATAGTGTGTAGTGAAATGGAATAATGCATGCATAAAATTGGATTGCATATCATAACGATATAGTTAATAATGCATCAAAAATTGACTCCCCTTTTAAAAGAATAATTAGTTGAACTTAAGACTATGTATTTACATTGTACATTTTTATATAAAAAAATTAAACTATATATTTTTAAAATCATGTTGCTTGAGATAAATTGAAGTGTCTTAATAATTTCATCTTATATGTTTTAGCAATTTCTCAGCGAGATTGCAGCTCTTATTATGCTCACATCAACGCAAGAAAATATGATATCATGAAAGACATCATCAAGTTCTTTCACTCAAAAGTTCAGCGAAAATTTCCAGTTGTAAATTGTGAGCCTTTTATTTGTGTTATTATCGATCATAATATAGTTATAACATTAAAATGTTAAAAGAACCTGTAACAAGTATTGTACTTCAGCTTCTGGGTTAATGACCCCATCTCAATCAGGTTTTTGTCAAGTTTCCCTGATCCTCGAGCAAATGCTGAGATTGCCCCTTGTTTGGCTTCTGGACATAAACGTAACTTCAAATTAACTTCTCCCCATAGCACGTGACTCACAGTTTTTAACTGTTTTTGATGTAAATAAAAAAAAAATTAGTGTACATCCAGTGTTCTGATATTTTTTTAAATTAATGTTGTTATAGATACATACAACTCTTACATTGTATGTTCTGAAACATTTTTATTTGTATGCCAGTCATGATTTATGTTGTTCTCTTCATTTCAGATGTGTTTGACATTGTCCGAATAGACAATTCAATATTAGTTATTGACTTTCAACCGTTTGATAGAAGATATACAGAGAGTCTGCTTTTTGAATGGGACGATCTGATTAAAATGAGAGCATCATTTGAGGAGGTTGATTTAGAAGCCAGTGACTTGGGATCACAAAATCCTGAATTCAGATTTATCGCTGAAGATGTAGGTCTGCAACCAAAACCATTACACCATGCAGGAATGCCTTATGAAGTAACAGAGATGTGCAATGAAATGAGAGGCATGTCACTTATGGAGTACTTACGTGAGGTAAGTTTCTATGTTTACGTTGTCTTTTTTTTGCTCTCTTATAGTACGTGCATAGTATAGAGAAAGCATTGTAATGTTGCACCCAAAAAGGGTGATATTTTAACCGAAAAAATTGTTTTGTGAGACCCTGATACCAGAAAAAGGATAAATCTTCTTTATGTAGTAAATTACTTCATACAATTAGTTGTATAGTCAGAATCCTAGTTTTGTGGGTCCTAGGTACCAAAAAATTGGTCTATGGCAAAACATCTGGGACCATCACTGATCACTTGTACCATTCGAACGATTTTCTACAAAATTGACTTTCACCGATTGATGTGGCCAGATTTGTGGCCCGCTGAATTTGAAGCTGATAGGATTAAAACATATTAGTTGGATATAATTTGCAATATTATAATAATACAAACTTTACATACCCATTGCAGATAAAATGAGAAAGTGTGTTCTATTGTAGCTTGTTTGAAAATAGACCTGTTAATATTTTTCTTGTTATTGTGACCACAGCAGAGTTCACATTAGGGTGCAATATGAGAATGGCAACACCACAACACAGTAGTTAGAAATTCTTAGAATTGATTTCTCATTATTAGGTGAGAGTGGATTGTTGTGTTGTTAGCTGTATGTTTTGATGTTGATCATTTAGCTTTAGGAAAATTAATTTTTGCACCTCATGTGCTATGATTTGCAAATAGTTTTTAAAGTGATGGCTGAGATGTGTTAATATAGAGAGATATTGCATAATATTATGTAACAGTTACTAATGCAAGAAAGTATGTGCTGCTGTAAAACCACTTGTTTGACATTATAAATAATTACAAAATTGAAGATGATGATTTTTCCTTCAAATTAAATTTGTTGTCCATAATTAGTTCGTTCATTAAGGTCAAGTACATTTTTTGAAAATTTTAGTAGTTTTCGTGCAATATTAAAAAATAACAAAAACAAGATTTTTTCAAAAATGGCTCCAAATTTTTTCTTTAACTTTTGATAAGAATAGTGCTATATGTACTCTATGAAATGACATAAATGTCATTTTGCTCTATTCTTTTGTTTTGTAAAAAATTACAGAAATGTAATTATTTTGACTTTTCTCACATCGTTAATATTTACATTAGCGATGATTTATTCACATTTTTGTTTTTATAAGCACACGTGCTTTAAAAACTGACATTTAAAGTTTCTCGAAAACTCAACAGTTCCGCGTTTTCAGAAACTTTCAAATGCCATTTTCTCACTAATGGCTCCAAATTATTTTGTCGACCTTTTTGTATGGCTAGTGCTAATTGGTACTGTTTAAGTTGACCTAAAATTAATTTTGCTGTAGTCTTGTTTTTTCAAAAATTCCACAAATTTAATTTTTTTTAGAATTATCTCTCATGCTTTTAATTTGCATATTTCCAAAAATTTGTAAACACTATTGCATTTGTGAGTGGAATAGCTTCAAATGACTTTCAATGAAGGTTTTTTGAAAGCTAAAATATTTTCTGTGATAAAGAGCTTAAAATTTTTCATTTTCAGAAACGCTTATAAGCTGTTTTCTTATAAACGGCCCCAAATTTTTCAATGAAATTGCCATTTATAACGTAGTTTTACTCTTCTTTAATGTTTTTAATGTATTATTTTGTTTCTACTCTTAGGTAACTGAAAATTGAGAAAATCTAAAAAAAAAAAATGTTTTTTGGGCAATGTTAGTTATTAAGTTTATTATGTTACACATTCAGAATTCTTTCAAATTCAGTTAGCCTTATTGCAGCTTGTTGCCTGTATTTTGCAAATGTACATTCCTGTCTAAGATACTACATAGTATTCTGGGGAAGCTCATCCTATGGTACCCAGACCTTTAGATTCCAGAAAGAAATTGTACAAATAATACGCAAATCCCATCCATGTGCTTCCTGCTAGCTTCTCTTAATTCTGCTTGGAGATTTGCCTATTTATGTATGGAGCCTGGCCTATTTATTTATTAATCTGTAGTTTTTGTCAAACTTACTAAATAGTGAAAACATATTTTCATGCTATACTGATAATTATTCTGGCAACACATGTCACAGAAATCTCATTTATCTGGTGAAGTATGAACAACTCATTACAAGAAATCCACATATAATGCGTTATATTACTTTACAATAACATTACCTATTTACATGAAATAATTAAAATTGATACAAAAGATTAAGTAGAAAGTAAAATATTTTGCTTAACTGTTTCTATGCATTTAGAGACTATACTGACTATAAAAAATATTTTAACAATGATTTATAATGCAGTAGTTTAAATTAGATTTGTATTATATAATTTTAAAAAGACTTAATATGCCTGTAACAAGATGTACTTCAGTATTAATACTAATGTAAGTAAGTGACTCCTACCTTGATCTGGTTGTTGCCCAGTTGCCCTGATCCATGGGGCAAATGCTGAGGTGGCCCCTTGTTTTCTTCTGAACATAAATGTAGCTTCTCTGTACTCACATTTTGTTGAGCCGTCCTTTAGCTTCTTAGAAGACTAGAGCCTGCAGTGTGGATTGATATTTTGTTAGCAATACTAAAATATCAAATCTGAAATTCATTTGCTGATGCAAATAAGTTTTCTATTACTTATGGGGGAAAATTTCTTATATTCAAATGTTACTGACCTTGTTTTGTTGGTATTTTTATTCACGATTCAATTATTTATGTATTAAGAGTGGGGAAGAGATTCTGAAGTTCTTTGCTTATAACTGCCAAATGTACTTAACAAATATTGTTTCCGTATTTCACTGTTCTTTGTATTATAATTAACCCTAGGGTCCTTCAAGACAACTTCCATAGCTCCTATGACCGTAGATTCAAACGCAGTTGCGGTTGGCGTAATTGGAGACGCGAAATTCCATGTCGTGCCGTATCATGTCATATAGTGCTATGCAATTGTGGCATATTAAAGAGCCCTTCGATATCGCTTGGATGTTCTTAGCATAATTAATCTTGCCATGATATGCTCACATTAGAAATTTAGCTGATGCTGCTAACTAGGGGCAGAAAATGCAACTGAGTCTGCACTAGTACTTCTTGCTGTACTTTTGTCTGTGATTAATGGTTTTTGTAATGAAATTGTTGTTCAGCAAGTTCATATTTGGTTCGTGATCTTATCTTTTTGCTCAGCAGCAGGAGTATTCTTCTGTTAATTCTTGTTTTACTTTTCATTGTAGTTTTAATCAGCAGAGGGAGTGATGATTTAAAGTATTAACAAAAGTGAACTTTCGAGTCTGTGAATTATAATTGATTTCAGAGTAAGTTTGAAGTAAGAAAAATATAGATTGTTCCTATTAGCCTCTAAATCTGTATGCCTATAGTTTTTACTGATCTTTGAACCCCCAGTGTGCGGATTCGATCCCCTCTGAGGTGTGCAGATTTTCAAAGTACAGAAAAAACCCGCAGTCATGTGGCATGTATGAGAAGTCTGGCAGGTTCCCTGCAAAATTAAATCCCTCCGGCAATTTCCTGTCGTAACAAGATTTCACATTCTCCCAACCAGGTTTGGATATAGTTAACCAAGTCCAACATCTGGCAGCGAAAGTGAAAATCACCCAAATGTGCATATTGGCAATGTTATGAGGCAAAAAATACACCCTACTCTCAGCCAACCATTTGGGAGCTATTAACTCTTAACTTTCAAAGCCATTGGCACACTGTTATCGTTCACGCTGTGGTGAATTCCAATGTTACCGTCGATTTCACCAGCCTTCAAATCATTGTGATAGGCATCTTCACAAACATTAAATATTTGGTGTCTCATTACATTTCACCAACAGTTTTGTGATGGAAATGACACTCTGTTAACATTGAAGATTCGTCAAGGATCATTTCTTCTTGTATAGAGATTAGCTACAATGTCAGGTTACAAGGTTCCAATTTAGCTGTTGCGTTGGTTGCTGTATACTGATGAAATTTAATGTATTATATTTCAAGTAGGTATGCACATTTAGGGGGAAATACTTTTTTTTATTTTTGTTTCTGTCTTTCTTATGCATTTCTCCAAAGATAAAATTGGCATGTGTGCGCAGTCTATCATCTCTGTAACTCTGAGCAAATTGGCTATTCTATAAAAATTCTTGCCTTTTTGTGACTTTGGTGGGATTTTTTAGTGGAAATGTCCTGTTGCATAAAATCTTATAGCTATCAATAACTGCTGCATGGGTGTTAGAGGTTTATTTCTGTTTGATGGGTATTCTAGTCAGAATTGTATTTCAACACTGCTTTTGACATTCTGTATCTGGTTGCTAATTAAGATTCGTCCAAAATTTAAGAAAATGATTTTTTTTTTAGTAATTGTTCATTCTGGACTTATTTTTTCTTAATACTCAATATACAGAAGCAAGCATAAAAATTCTCACATTTTATCACACTCATACTCCGCTTGGACAGCAAAATTTTAAAATAACAAAGGCAACCAAATACAATGAATGCATGTGATACACCCTGACATCACATTAGGAGTTGTATGAATCATCAATATAGTGTTGATGCCGCATGTTTTGATGATGGTCAGGCAAAACGACTTTAGTGAAATGTAAATATGTTTAACAAGCTGTCTATAGTTTCACTTATGTCAAAAGCAACTGATTGAGGTTAGTAAAACCGGCCATTGGAATAATAATCAGAGTCTCCAAGTACATGGGGGTCTGAGTATTTTGTAGGCATGTCTGTTTTCACACTTACCCACTCTTCATGCATCACTTTTCCTATCATATTATGGCATGCAGAGATGATTATATGTGAGGCAAGTAGCTGTTACATCTGGGTTGGCCAACCTCCTCCTTCAGTTGTGTTCAGAACATGTGGTACATTTGCAATTCCATATCACCTGTTGACATCCTAACCTTCCCCTTATTGCTTTCCCTTCCCCAGTACCGTGTGTGAGCTTAAATCAGACCAGTGTGCACGATGGATGAGCCTGCGTGTCATAGTGTCAGCATCCATCTAGGTGCGGTCTGACTCTCTTCATCTTGAGTGAATTGAAAAATTCTCTAGCTAGAATTCTCCTCCACTGTTTCCTGGTTCGTCAACTGCTATGTTAGTCCCGTATATGTTATTCATGTTAAAAGCTGGGAGGTGACTGTGTTCCTCTCCTGCCAGAACTAGAGATCTGCTGCCAATCTACTTGTCAGCTTGCAAAGTTTCTTTTAGTTTCCTTAGCCAGCGAGGTACTGCATGAACAGGGACAAGCTTTGGGTGCCGAATTCTTCTCCTGACATGTATGATAGTGTAGAGCATGTAAGTGTGTGTAAACAGGAAGGAAAAATTGTGCATGGTCCATGACCTCACTTTTAGGATACTGCTCTGGCATTTGCCTGGAATTGATAGCAGAAACACTGGAAAAGTATTAATCAGCGCAGCCGGATGCTAGAATTCTTCAGGTAGTGCTCGACCAGCTGAACTCGACATAGCCATTTAGCTAGTATTAAAAAATTCCAGCAAAGTCAGGGACCTCTCAGTCAAACTGCACTGGCAGCAGTTGTTACCTGGAGTAACTCACTAGTCTCTGTAGATAGGCTCATGAGCTTTCTTGATCTGCAAACCTGTGTGTTCATGATTACACAGACTCATGAACTACATTGGTGTGATGGATAGAGACTGGCATGCATCATTTTGAGGAAAAATAGTCTCAGGAATGAAGGGGTATGTACAGAAAGGAGCCTGATGTAAAATAGGAATACATACATGTTTTCATTCTCTTAAAGTAACAAATATGTATCATTCCTTCATATTATGTGCTTGTTGTGTTGATCAACTTCTGTTGAATTTTGTGCATGTGTTCATGTCTGAAGCGTTCTACTTACAGTCAAACAATGCAGTGCGGGATCTTTCAATGTATTCACTTTCTCTTATTTTATTGAATGTGGATAAGTGTTTTACATTTACACTTGCCCTTTCATGCTTTCAGGAGATTACAAGACAGGAGTCACAACCAGAATGAGAGTTTTATTTTGTTTGTTTGCTTGCCTGGAGAAAGCTTGTTTTGTGGCTAATGGGGATTCTGCAATGTTTTGTAAGTTATGAATAAGCATAGCAGAGTTTGCGAGGTCGGTATCAAACATGGTTAAAGGTTATGCACAGAAACCAGAATATTGATATTCTTATGAATATAGTTCTGAGATTTCGTAAATAATTGTCAGGAAATCGTGAAGGCCTTGATTTGGACAGAGTGCTGATTGCAGATTCCATTATATAATTCTTGTTTTGCCTTATTCACTGAAGTTGAGGTTACATGAAGTTCCATCAGTCTGACAAAGATTATACTAACATTTTTGTTGCTTCACGAGGAGCTGTTGTTGAATGTATTGTTACATGAATAAAACAGTTAATTTTACTACATTGTACTTTATTGTATCCAATATAAGAAATATATATATGTATATGCACAATAAATAAGTTTACAACTTGTAGTAGTTAAAGACAAGATGTGTCTGTTCGGACTGTTTGTCTTCCTTTTATTTTTTGACTAAAAAGCACCTGAATATTTTGATCGGTAAAACCAATGGCACTTAAGAGTTATGAGTTATATTATTTAAGATAATGTAAGATTTTGTACTGCTTTCCAATTATTGGAAACCCATAACTTTTAAAGTTGAACAAAGAAACAAGTTTTTCTTATAATATATTCAGTGGTGGCAGCAGAAATCTTGGGGTAGTTCATATTAGAATGAGAATCAAGAGGTAATCAATGTACGTAAAAAATTGTATATATTTTAGTAAAATTTTAAAATCAGACAAACACCTAAATTAATTTTCAGAACATTTTTCCTGACATCAGTGGTTTTTCAATACTGTGAAACAAAATTGCTCAGCCAATTCTTTTATCTTTTGATGGTATGAACGTAACCATTTTTATGTTTATATCAGTTTCATGTTTGTGTTCATTAGTGTTTTCCATGTCCCTTGGTTAGTAAGTTTTTTTCTTTATATTATTCTCCTTTTGTTTGCAGTTTTTAAAATGTTAATAACTATTTCTTTCATCAAATTTGTGATCATAATTTTCTTTTTATAGCTGAGAAAAGCCACCAATGATGGGATAAATGTCCTCAAAACTAGTTTGGGTTTTTGTATGATTTCAAAAGTTTATTAAAACTAACACATCTTTTTTTATGGTTTCAATAGTTTATTAAAACTAACACAACTTTTTTTATGGTTTCATTATCTCTTAATTCTCAGACTATTCTGAGCAACAATAAATTGATTACTTTTCATTTGCGATCTCGCAAATTTCAGGATTGAATAATTTCTATTGATAATTAAAAGTTTAAAATTTATTACATGTTCATATAAAAAATAATGAAATAGTGTTTTTAACAGTCAAGTTGAAAAGTAATTACATATACAGTGTGGCCTTTATTAAGTGGCCACTAATGTTTTCAGAATAAGTCTTTTAGAACGTAAGTTAATAATCATTTCCCTATTATAGCATGACCATTAGGTTGCAATTTTACTTCCCTAACTGTGGTAGTTGAAAAGATCTTATAACATGTGTGAATCTTATGGAAATCCACAACAATATTGCTGGAAATATCTGGACAGTTTTTCAGAAATGGAACTGATAGGCCGTGGAGGCTGCTGAAAAATGACAATGTCTTGTGATCAGCTTTTTATTTATTTTTTTTTGTATGAAAAAACTGTAACTGCAGTTGTTGGTTAGGGTTAGCAGGGTGCATGCATAAGGTTGGTTCAGAACACAATAATCTAACAACATTAAAATTTATTGCAAAAAATTATGGTAATTGGGAGGGTTAGTTGTTAAAAGGAGTTTCACCATGACTTTCTTTCCATGATTTTCTGCATACTTTGATACAAAATGTGCAGAATGGAAGTGTCTGGAATGTACATTCATTACAGCTCTCCTTTTTGTGCTCTTGGGCATACAGGCATTCTCTGTTGCATGTAGTGTTAAAAATGATTTTGAATACTAATGGAACATTGTGATGGTTGAAATTGATCAGTACTACTGAAGTAGCCTTTGGGAGGTTGTTTCTTTACGTTTGATTTTCATCGTGTCGAATGTTGTCTTCAAGCTGTTTCAGAGTTCATTGCATTGTCTACCAGTACAAACCAATTTTCTTTTTAACCTTTCTCATTTGTTTTTGTTAGTAGAATATTGACTCATTTGATTGGTTATTGATTTTAACCTTTTTATCTGGGATAATTTTGATACCTTCAAAATTATTTCACTGTTACGTTAGTACTACTTTTGAGATAAATAGAACAATTAGTTTGGAATGTTTTGAATGTCATGTGGTGTCATTCACTTAATTGGCAATACTAATATGTAGAAATATTGTTATCAAATTAATAACGTAATTCTAGCAAACTTAATCAAGAATTTCAGGAGAACATTGCCTTCCATTTTTGTTAATTAACCTGCTGTTTTAATATTTCACTGAGTTATCAATATCATGAAATTTTATTTACCAGTGGTGTAAGATCCTTGTTTTTTAATTATGTTCCAGTATATTTTGTATCTTTTAGTGTCGTATATTTAGTTTTGAAACTCAGTAGGTTAGGGAATGAATGTAAAACTTTTTGTATGGCTGCCTACCACTGATACCCAACTTTAGTTTGTTGATTTAATACAAAATTATGAGATTCCCTTTACATTTGTAAATTGTGTTACAAATTATTTCATTGGCATACAACTCACCATGCAGAAAGGGATCAGAGAGGAGTGTTCTGATAAATTTAATGGAAGTTTCTCATTCATGGAAATACTCTTGTGACTTTTTGGGACAAAATTGTGCTGGACGTGGTGAAGTCAGTGGTTATGTGCATGTAGTGATTATGGAAAGAGCATTTTTGCAGTAGTATTGGCAGTATTAAAAATTCAAGATAATTCCAGAGCATGATATAAATACTTTTGTCACCCAATTGACACATTTTATAAAATAAGAAAAATGATGATGAGTGTTATACCAATTGCATTTTGATGTGTATATGTAGATGAACGGGTAGGAGATCATCAGATGCTCAGTTTTATCTGGTACCTTTGGCCAATCTCATACACTGACACCTACTCTTCAGGTGGAACTGGCTTGGCTATGCTTGGCCGTGCTGGAACAAAAGAAAATATTGATCTTTAGTGAGCAGAAAGAAATTTATCAACCAATAGAAAAGCCATTTATTTTTTTATTTTATTATTGCTACTTTTTGTTATAAAGCTCTCTAGACACCATAAAACGTAAATGGTATGTGATATTTCCGTAAATCGTTAGTACTGCGCCTAGAATGCAATGGTGGTACTTACTCTGACAGTTTCCTGAAGAGAAAGTTAGGTCGTCGACCGCAAATCCACCATTCACCGCTTGGCCTTCAAGAATGACCCGGAAGTCCGTTGCTGCCTCGACAGTGACCTGTGCCGGCGACCACGACGCTCGTGCAGTGTCCACCGTTTGAGCCTCAAGCACCCACAACTATAAAGTGCAACAATTCTCATTACTGTCCGAAATGCTGTTCAAAATATGCAGGCATTGAAAGTAAAATATTTCATATTTCATGTTTTATAGATCTTCATTGAAAAGTGTTCAGTTCATCTATTTGCCAATTGTTTGCTGTAAGTTGTAAATTTTATCTGCGGGAGGGGTAAATAGTTTGTCATACAATTTTGTCGATTTCCGTATGACACCACATGACGGGTCCTATTTAGAATCCAGCCTTTATGATACTATAATAAAGGCGGAGGATATGAAATTCCCCGAAACTTCATTCATTTGGGAAACTAATGGTGAAAACTATTTGGCGCAAGGTGTTTTGAGATCGAAGCTTGAAAATACGTAGTTCGTTGGAAGTTAATAGCATAGCTAGTAACTTTTTTTTTTAAACTCATCAGTGGCGATGATTAAGGACATACGCTTCCATTGTACTCTACGTTCTACACTACATTCTTTTACTATCTCGCTTGGTACCTGCGTCATAGAGTAAGCCTACTGTAATGCCGCACCAGAAATCGGCGATTTTTTGGACACGAAAACAAGTATTATTGTGCCCTATTATCCAAAAAGTGGACTGGAAAAGTAATTTTTTTCTTACAAGGGACTTTTCAGCTGATTGAATTAAACTCAACCGGCGAAGGCAGGAAGAGTAGGATCTTCATTGCTAAAGACACTTTCATATTCAATTAATTACTGCCATACGACCACGTCACAGTTCTCTTACCCTTCTTTCAGAAAGTTGATTTGTATTGGTTCCCCTATGATTTATTAATAACCTCTTTACAACTTTATTTTCTCCCGTGGAAGAAAAATTAAGAGTTCTTATTCCGCATTGTAACGAACGAGACGTAATCGTCCCACTTCTGTGAGAACATGGCGAACGACACCACCGCGCTACATCAGTGCGAGCTAACGACCTAGAATATATACTACATGAGTGGCTGAAGCGCCTCCATCTTTGAAGGAAATTAAATCCATGTGTTTTTCTGTCAAAGTAGCGCCTTTTGGGAAGCAAAGTATTCTAGCATTACGTTTTGCGGTGGTTACGGATGGTTACACCCTGGATGCACCGCCTCTCGTGTTGTTTCAAAAAACATAGCGGCCACTAGTTCATCGAGCCTCTACCAAGAGCGCTAAAGCTATAGGAACAGCCACTCTATGTAGTATATTCTAGCTCGTTGGTGCGAGCGGAATGGTGTCGAATTTATAACCTCAAACTTTATAGGCGTGGTGCTTCACTAAGTGTTCAGCTGGTGATACTTCACTAAGTGTTCAGCGACACGACGAGGCTTCGGTCCTCGCGATTAACCCAAAACATTAATCTATTCAACGCATAATTTCCAATGCATCTTTTTTTAATTTTTTTATTGCGAAACATGTAGACGCTTTGCTATGCGTGTGAAATTAAGGCTCCGGCCTTAGGCCTACGCATGATTGAAAGACGTGTGAGAGCTATTGCGCATTGTATCCGATTTAATTAAGAGACCTGTCCTAAGAGAAATGACAAGGAAACAACAACAAACTATAAGATAATATCCAATTGTATAAGACTACGATTCAAGTTAATATCTATTTAATTAGTCGATAAGTAAATCTAAAGTATTGAAATTAGATAAAATTAAAATCTTGTATGTACCACGGGTGTTAACTGGTTCTAACAGTCTTGGGCGATTAAAACCCGTCGTGGTTTTGTGCGCTGCTCGATCAATAGCACCCTTATAACGCTATTGGTGATAAATAACTATTGCCCAACTGGGATCATAGCTATGGTTGAATACATTGTAAGCTGCAAAGTAGTAGTCTTGGAGCGCTTGTAACTAGTTTTCGAGCGCCATAATTTGGCATTTGGCAATCTTTTACATCCCGTTGGACCAACGCAACCAAACAAACCCTTTGAAACGCATTTGCCCGCAGAAGTGGCACGAAGTGACACGAAGCCGGTGAGGTCCAAAAAACACTAATTTTTAAAAGAATGCAACAAAGGGTAATATGCATGTGTATGAACTCGTCTCTTCAGGTTATCACGGGCAAAAGAAATTATAGGGTTGCATATAAAAATAATGAAAGTTCGAAACGGCATATAACAACAACTTTACGAACGGAAATTGCTAATGCACCCTTTAATACGACCTAAAATTCATTTTGGGGTATTTTTTCGCCCAAAATTACACAAATGAATTTTTTAAAAGATCTCTCACGTCGTTAATACGAACATCTCCAGCAATTTGTAAACACTACTGTATTTGTGGGTTAAAGTGTTTGAAATGGCTTCTAATGGAGTTTTTTGAAAACTCAAAAATTTTCTGTGAAAAAAAGCTTTCATTTTCGTTACCACTAGTTAATTTATTAACTTGTTTAATTTTATTATCTACATGTTTTTAATGTAATTCACGTGGTGTATTATCCATCTCTTAAATTATTTTAAAAAAATAATTGTTTTCACTTTGTGCCAGATATGAAAATGATGACTTAAGTAATCGAAATCTTTTAATCTCTTAAAGAAGAAATGTTAGTAATGTCGACACCTTTCAATTCTACCCATATTCAAATGCCAACATCTCACCCTGCAATCAACAATTTAAAATGAAAGATCAAGTGCAGAAACAATAAATTCCTGAAAGAAATTATGATAGCAAATGTGTGGCTTCTGGACCTCGTTTTTGTCGTACCTTTTCCGGCACTTCTTCACCCGCTCCACTTGAACTGTTGTCTTGTCGTAGGACCCGCAATTCGGCCGAATCTCCAGCTCCAAATGCCGCGAACCAGAACGTGAAGCAAAGCTGACGATCATCGTCATTGGTGGATCCAGGAATTGTTGGAGATACAAGCCGTGCAGTGTTACTTCCCAGAGCTTGATTAAATAAGTCGAAGTAAATGTATCCCTCTGCAAAAAGGGATTTTATGTTAAAATACAATATCGTTCTAAAGATAAAATTTTTAAAAAAAGGCATTCGGAAGGCAGAGAGTTTGAGAAGGAAAAGAGGTCAAAGGAAGGGAATGACAATAAAACATCGTAAAACGTGTATTAAAGGAAACCTTTCCGTCTTACTATTACATATGATGGGATGAAATTTATGATAGCTCGGCATGTGCACATTTTCGTTGTGGTGGCTGACGTTTTGACTAGCATCTTTGGCCTTCTTCTAAATAATACTGCTGCTAAATGGCTGGCGTGGTTGCCTTAAATAGCGGGAAGGATGTACTATGCAAAATCGGTCAAGGCAGTGACCAATAGGTAGCGGGCGGGTGGTACGGGATTGGTGGAGGGATGACAGTGCGGTACCATGAAGCGAATGGAACATATGAAAGTAGCAATAGAAAGAGGGAGACATTCTGAAGCAGAATAACACTGCGAAGAAGCATCTGAGTGCTTAGGAGCCGCCCACAAGACAGGGGAGTAAGGGTAGAGAGAATACCGACACTGTAGCCTCATAATGTCGATAACACTTGTGACGTCTTCCCCCCACGGTCACAACTTTGCAACCATTCCTTTAACACCTCAACAGCATCCACCCCGCATCCATTTCACTACGGAAACGGAACATTACGGCCTGCTTCGCTTCTTCGACGCCACGACAGCATCCTTGGTCACTCCATCTACCGTAAGTCTAACCAAACGAACTGCTATTTACATGTTAATTGTCAACATCAACCCGTCATTCTTCCTACACTTACCCAACGGGCCGCCCTCGTTTCCGATAGCAACAGCCTCGAAACGGGAAAAGAGAGACATCCCTAGCTTGGGTTAGGCATATCCGCCGTACCTCACATGCTGAAGAGACTCGACGCACCTAAACATGTAGCTCGGAACGATGCGTGCTCCATCCCACATCGCAAGGCTTCCCTACATAAAAGGTGTCACGCATTGAATCGACAGGCTGCACCGCAGAGTCAATATCAGTCCGGTGTAACATGCTCTCAAGAAGATCGGTGAGAGAATTTGGGCCAGGTGAAAGATTGCTTGGCCTACAAAATGCCGGTGTTTATGAAATCCCGTGCAGATGCTGGGTATTATCAAACCGAACGCACAATAAGTCTGCGTGCGTAATGAACGCATGCTCCATTACCAGTTACAGCGCACTCACAAATCGGACGGAGCCCAGCACACTGCCAAAATGAATCACCAAATTGACCCCAACAAAACCCACACTATTAACATCGAAGAACGGTGGTGGCCACGAATCATCAAAGATGCCAAGGTCCATTAAACTAAACAGAGTCAATGAGCTCCGCCTCAGCACCAACTGGAGATAGGCGTTCATCCTTGCCAATACAGTTTCTTTCATGGTGGCATTCTCCGTGTCGATTGTTATCCTTCCAAAGTGTCCCATTCTCTTCCCTCTCCCGCCAACGCAATGTTCTCTCTCTACTAATCCCAAGTCATGTCCCCGCTTCCCATCGGTCACTGCCTTGACCAATCTCGCTGACTTACTTCCCGGTGTATAAGGCGACCACGCCACCCATTTGAAGCCACGCAACTCCAAATGAAGTCTGCTTATTGCAAATAACCCCAAGGGCTAATCAACGAGAAGCGAACTCCATTATTGTTTCATCACTAGCAAATTTGTACGCAGTTTACTCGAAAAATGCATCTGTGTCCTGTCCTTCAGCAGTGAATAGTGGAAAATAAGGCTAAAGGTTAATATCTTTTTATTTGTTTTTATTTCGTACATACGATGCAGCTTTTGTGAAACTTTTCAGGTTTTTGTAGCTCGTTTTGCTTAACAGGTATTCACATCCTGATCAAAACCCAAGGATATAAAATACACTACATAGTGGCTGAAGCGCCTTTACCTTTGCAGCAAATTGAAGCCATATTTTTCGCTGTCAAAGCAGCGAATTTTGGAGGAACAGAGTATTCTAGTATTCCATTTGGAGCTGGTTAAGGCCAAGTGAGCGTGGGACACACGTAATATAAATCCTCCTACACTGTGTTTCACGAACAAAAACCATCCATTTAAAAATGAAATGACAATACGCAAGGAGAACGAATTGAGAAACATTAAAACATGTTGCTGCCTGTATCGGTTATTGTCATGAGGATGTAGGATGTTGAAATATTATTGTAGTTAGCATAACGCCTGAAATTGAATGTTATTGCTATAAGAAGTAAAAAAATATCACAAAGTAGGCGGCAAACTAAAAAATACTTATTATTTTAATAATAATAAAAAAAATTGTGGTTTAATGACTTCTATTTTTACAGTTATATGCCGAACATACTGAATGCATTGTAAATATCATTATTCTAACCAGTAATCCAATTTAAATACAGCTCCCTGCTGATTTTTTCGCAGGCTAAGTGAAGTCACTCTATCCTTTTGTTATTGCTTTGTTATTGTTATTGCTACTATACTGGAGGTACTATGGCCGGAGTTGGCATACCTCTTTCATTAACAAGCACGCAAGTTTAGTAAGGGTCCCTGTTATTAAAACATTATTTCATACTACATTTTTCGAAAAATAACGTACATAACCGTATAAAAAGTGATTTATGAGTAATATAAAGGCAAAGAATTGCCGTGATGGAGTAATGTGCCGCGCATCATTGGATAATATTTATAATACAGAATGTGGGTCGTTGATGCGAGAGTGTCACTGAGGGATGAGAAATATAGTTATTTTTTTTTAACAAAACTTGTCTTTAAATTGGGGTGGGGAATCGGTGAAAGTAAGAGTAGGATTCCCCCAAATTAACGTAAGCCCAAGGGCCCCCCAAAGCTGTTAAAACGGCCCTGTTCATTAACTCTATTTTCGTGTCACTTTCTTCTTGAATATCGCCTCGCAAGATACATTGCACTCTCACTGGAAGACTACTACATACAATAATTCCCGGTTACGAGAAGAAGCTACTATAAAGCACTATGATATTACACAACGAAGGTTTACTCCTTAACTCCATACGCCGTAATTATAATCTGAAAAAAGTAGGACGTGCGATTCAATTTAAGGCCACAGAAATACCTCCCTCAACAAAATAAACACAATTGCTACCTCACTTTCTGGTTCACTTTCATTGCATCGACAGGGGAATGTGATTCGTAACTATTTTAAAACATTTAGAAGTGGCAGTTAAGGCATAGCCTTCGGTAATGTATAATCGCAGAACTTACTATTTATGAAATTATGCATTATGGTAGGACTGGATTATACGCAATGGGAAATAAACGTTCTAAGTGTGATATCGTACATAGTGGTAGCACTTCGTATGGGAAACGTATACGTAATGGGAAATAATTCGATTTGCTCTCTTCTACACTTTATTGCGAAAAATACAATGACGATGCGAGACAATATACGAGTAGTGATTCCACTCCCAACTTGCTGAGAACAGGGCTCTTTCTGTCACGCCCCCTGCCCACACCGTCGTACCACGGCCGGCCCTCGAACTCGACTTAGAGAGAAGCGCGCACCGCATTTTACTCCAGCAATATTCCACTGTTTAGTAGCTCAGTGAGCCAGCGCAAAGATCGCAGCACGAGCTGCAGTGTGTGCAACATTTTTTATCATTTCAAACAGGGTTCTGAATTGCATTGAACGTTTAATTCTTATACATTGTTGCCTCAGTAGTACTGGTGTTAAATGCACTTCACTTGTGTTCAACATGTTTTCATTTCACTACTGAAAATAATATGGTTAGCTTCAGAAGCCGGCAAGAAGCTTCAGATGTAGATCTAACATTTCCGTTTTTGAAATGAAAATCATTTGTTTTTCAATTCTCAGAAATTGTGATTGCAATATGAAAAATCTTTTTTTCGTGTTATGCTTCTAGATGTTGGCTTATGTGTTTAGTTAATAATGGTGTCTTTGGAGTTATTTCAAAGTCTCTGATTTTTTTGCAACGTCTACTTTATACGTAATTTCCTATATTTGGTGGGCCGTGATTGCTTCTTCGGGAGGGAGTAGAATCACTGAATTGTGATAAGAAATAATTAGGGAGTTTGACATTCTATTTGGTAGTTACTTAGCTAAATGGATACTTAAATGGGTATTTGTAAAATTGTGTTCGTTTTACAGGATAAAAGAGAAGTTTCGTTAAAACATCACAAACTACACATCATCACAAGAACACATAAGTGTTGGTTTAGATCGATTTTGACCTTACCAATCGCTAAAATTGTTGGCTCATAATAAGAAATACAGGAAACGAAATTAGGAGCAAATTTTTAAGAAGTGTTATAATGAGTAGTTCTACATTTTTATTTTCTTCATTTTAGAAAGATACCTATGTGTGTATGCCCGAAGACTTTGGCAAAATATTCCAGGCTTCTAATATTTTTTCAGGTTTTTGGGTAGTTTTGTTTTGGTATAATTAAAGAAGTAGTTTATTGAGACGATTCGTGAGGAGTTATATTTTTACACAAATTAAAAGTTATCTCTTAAATCAAAGCTGTTTTCACCAAAAAATAAAGAATTTAATAATGTGTTTATTTTAGTTTTTACAAAATGACGTCTCCTAAATATTTTTTTGGAGCACCTCTTTGGAAACATTGCGTGCTGGAGGAGTAATTACATGGATATCACAATGGTATTTTAATACGTCCAACTTTAATATGAAGATTATATTTCAATTTCTCAACTACTAGCTTGTTTGAATGTGAGTGTTCTAGCAACAATAATATAATGAATAATATTAGACTTTAAGAAGTGACGATTGTACTGGAATTTCTAAATACTGAAAGGAAAGTGATTTACATGTACACGTAGGCTTCCCCGGCTCGAGTTCATGACTTGTATGCCAGCCTGGACAGCCTAGAAGTCAGGGAAGGGATTTGCCAGGTAAACGTTTCATGTTTTTATCCTTTCATTGACAATCGAATTAGTTTGAGACGTGAAGCTGGAGAGAGACAGTTTTTGTTCACTTTACGTAGGGTCGTACAACTTACCTGGAGCACCGAACGTCTTGTCCGGCAGATTGGCTGGGCGACGTGAAACAGTGGCCAGGCGCCACGCCGCGTGGGATTTGTCCGTTGTGTCGTTGAACCAGTCGCAAGTGTCTCTCTCGAACCGACACTCGCCTGGCCTTACATGAGCGGAATCGGGCATAGCTGAAACAACAACCCTTTACATCAGGTCTTCTCACTGATTTCGTATTGCGCCTTGCGCTGTGGTGCGTCTTGCAACTTGGTGGGGCAACGGAATTCTGCTTTCCTTGCCGCCGTGCTTGCGTCTGGAGTGCGCAAGTTGGGCGGATCTGTTTTATTCTCACATACCTATTGTTCCAACACTAAACAATGTTGCTTCTTGGCAGTGAATTGCGAGAATATGTAATGCATATTGCCGACATTACACGTTTGGACGCTGTTAAAGAGATTTCGAAACACTAGTGTAAGATTAATTCTCTACATATCACGACCAGAACTTACTGTGAAACTTTCTTTCATCAGATTTTTCACCTCATATTCATTGAACAAAATCTTCACCTTCTCTTCTTGCCCTAAAAGTTTGTAAAACTTCTTCTGGTACATACACGCACTAATGAAACCGCAGGCATATTTTAAGTTAACGTGAAAGCCATTAAACTGTGAATTCATTGATTCTTATATTATCATGCATTAGGAGATTTTTAATTTTTTTTTAGTTTTATCCTGCTTAACGCTCAACATGTTTGGGTTTTCCGTTTTGCGAGCAGGCTACGCTAAGAGAAACGTGAACTTCAGGGAAATCGTGAGCTTGTGTACAGAATCTGGGCGACGTATCACAGAAATTTAAGATAAGCATATGATGCAATATTTCTCAGACATTTTCAAATTTCCAACGAAGTCGAATAAAGAGATGTTGATTAGTGCGATGGTTTACGTTTGAAACAAATGCATTCGTTTTATAGTAAAACAAAGAGTGAAGAATGCTAGAACCAAGAAAGCAGAACAAGCGAAAACAAAAACCTTGTTTGCTGTTTCTATAATTTGGTGGGCACTACGTATTCTTCCTTCTACTCCTAACACATTCATCTTCACTCTCGCTTTTGCTGAGGTCTAGCACGTGCGCGTTCAAGGGGTAATGAACATGTGAAGCGAGAGTTAGGGGAAAAGGGAGAACCTCGAGAATACCTGCGAACCCACTTGGTCCATCCAAATTGCCGTGGAAGGCGAGCAGTCTGGCCGCTGCGCCTCGGATCGCTCCAAACGCTCTTGTCTTTATTCTCTATCGCCTTTAGAAAATGCAGGGATATTTTCAACAGTTTCGTCATTCTGGACAATACATTTTGGCGCTCGTGCTACGGGCTGATTTGCCTGATGGTTATTGCGGCGGGACGGTCTCTGTCCTAGTCACGTGCAGGCAACACAGGAACTTACTTTTGCAAGCTCCGTCGAACAGCGTGATGTCGTCGAAGCCCACGAAGCCGTTTGCGCGGCTGGAGCCCCAAGTGCCTTCCATGATCACCTGCGCACAGTTCTCACATGAGGGAAAACATTGATTACCTTCTTTTTCAAATTATGGATGGTTAGAGTCATCAGATTTTAGCATTTTAGTGACGCAAACATTGCCTTGAATAAGATGTTTGAAACATTACGTAAAGTCTTTAATTCAATTAATGAAAAAACATCAGTAGAAATGAATAAAAAAACTTTTAAATTTATGAAAATAGAGAATTCAGAATTCGTTCCAAAATTACTGACTATAAGACATGAAATACGAAATAATCAAATGTTTTCTAAATGTTTACATATGTTTAACACAGTTTTGCCATTTTGTTTACAACAAATATAATGCATTATGTTATCAATATACGAGTGCATTAGTACAATAGTATTCTTCACCAGTAAAGTATAATTTTGTAAATATTCAGATTTTATTACGTAAACATAAGTAATCAGGAGGAAATTCTATCGAATTTAAATGACTAGCCTGGAACTAAAGTGGTCTATAGTCTATGTGACACAATGTAACTTAAACCACTTAAGAATTGACCAACATTAAAACCATCTGCCAATACTAAAGTAATAATTTTATTAAGCAGCATCTACAATGACAAATGACACATAGACTACTTAAGAATGTATAGATGCTCACCTGTTCAGATCAATTTTACCATATCCTGGGTTTTAGCCAAAATTTTTCATATACTACTTTAGTTCCAGGCCAGCCAATTTCTTTTGAGCTCCTTTGACTATTAGAGGTATAAAATATCATAAGAATTCGGAAGAAAACGGAAGAAGTTAAGTTAGGGAAGAAAACAGAAATCCAGAACATAAACGAAAACTTGCACGGACGTGCACGAAACATATGAAGAAACCCATTCAAAATGAATATCACAAGGTGTAGAGCCCATTGAAGAAGTGGCTCTAGTGGGGACTATGGCCTAATAAACACGATTGAAGATCGTGGGGAAAGCTACGAGGAGCGTCGTTGAAATGTTAAACTGTATGCATGTATTGTATACATATATTGTATGGCATTAATGTTGGATGCTTATTCATATGAATAAGCCATATTAGACCGAAAAAGTATAATTGGTGGCTTGGATATTACAGGTTTGATATACTGTACGTTGTTAAGTGAGCTTTCCACGGATATGGTATTACTGAATAAATTGCTCATTTGAGTGTTTAATGTTCTGGGTTGTCAGGAAATTTAGTGAAAATATTTCTGCATGTTTAATGGCAACTTTATGGGAATACGTATTTTCAAACTACAATAATAACGAGCAAACAATAGTCCAATTAAAGGAAATGTCACTATGAAAATTGACAAATATTACGTAATATTCATAAAGCATTTTTTTGATGGACTGATTTTAACGAAAGCTAATTGTTTTAAAAGTAGCTAAAAGATCACAAGTTGACGCAAGATGTAAGTAATTGATTGCAAGTTAGCAATAATTCCTTGGATGATAATTCCTTGGTCGTTAAGAAAACATTTTATAAGAAGTGATCAGGGTTGCCTAGAAGACACCGCGTTCTGATTAATGTTGCTGGCGTAACGGGACAAATGGCTTCAGTTGACGCGCCCGGAATCAAAACTAACCCGATGGAGCACCACATATCGACCGAGATTAGCTCAGAGCTAGTCGTTTCCGCTGTCTCAGCAACGGCTCTGACCGGGAGGTACTAGGCTTCCAGTCCCGACGGTCACAGATTTTCGACACTAGCTAAATAGCTACATGAACTACACTATCACATCGTGAGGTCAGTCTGGAGCTTAGATGGAGTGATGCCTCACTGGGGGAGATATCTGAAAAGGGAATCACCCCCGCAAGTCGGAGCATAGGCCGGCGCCGGATCTCACCTTTCAGCGAGAGAGGCAACCGCCAACCCATCCATAAAACAATCACTACGCTAACGGGACTAATGACAATAACTGTGCCTGAGTCCCGTGCTCGGAAACATCAATCGATAAAATACCGTATTGTTATTTTGAGGCGCGCAAGACTCTTGATACGCGCGTATACTCACCGTGTGTGGGCCCGGGTCTGTGAGAGGCACCTGCGCGTACCTCCACTCGGGCCCCTGATGGTTGTAAAGCCGCCACACGGGCGTCGCCATGGGGTGGCCGTTCTTGTCGGTCGCGCGTGTGTACACGGCCAACGCTCCTAGACTGGGGCCCGTGTTGTCGATGAATGGCTCGTTCAAGACAAACCTGCGAGCGATTCATGTGGAGTAGATACCCAACTAATGAACTTTTAGGACCACTATGTGCGAGACTCAGAGATCTAAAAGTCTCTCAAAATATGTCTAAAGTAAAAATACTTAGAAATATTTTAGCTATATATTAAAATATTGAAAGTAATTGTATTTAGATTATTAAACTTAATCAGCATTTTAATAGATATTCCCTGGTACATCTGTCCGAGCTTGAGGACTTGCGAATGTGAAACAAATATTTTAATTTTTGGGGTTCTTTTCATGAAACCCTTGGGTAAATTAAAAATTTCCCCCAAAATTGCTTACAGCGTTTTCTTGTTTTTTGTGCTTGAATAGAGGAAAGTACACTTTTATGTATGGTATAGCCATGAGCTTTATCAAAATCGTAGAATTTTCTAAAATTGAAAAGTTTAGGTTTTAGAACCCCTCCTACAACTACATAATTGACACTAGAGGGTTTCATAACAAAATCTCCTCTTCAGAATTATATTTCAAAATGATGAAATGTATATTTTTTTCAAAATATGAATTGTTTTTGCTAATTTTGAGTCAGTCAGTGAGTACTTAAAATAATACAAAATTTTCTAAAGAAAACTGCACAAAATTATTTCTTTAAGTTTAAGTGACCTAATAAATATGATATAGGAATTTCATCGAAACCTCTGAATTTTCAAATATTATAAAAAAGTTCATTTCTGAATCATGTTCAAATTAAAATTTCCCCTTCAAAATTAAATCAAGAAGTTTTCGATTCAATGCAATATATTCTGCAATATTGGATCTTTTCCTAATTTTATGTACACTTTTTTGAAATATTAGTAAATAATATTTTTTCAAAACCATTCCAAATTTTTTCTTTGAACTTTTCGTGAAGATCGACAAGACTTAATTCTATGGTATAAGTGCCTTTTAATGAAACGTTTTGAATCTAATAATTCCTATCAAGCAAAGTTATTTTTTATTATTATTTAAAATTATACCTACTTCCCTGTGCAGTGTAAAGTGAAAATCACGTTTGTGGTGGAAGTTGAGAAAATCTGCTTTACGCAATTGCTAACATTACCAAACTTCCACGAGGTAAAGAGAAGTGGCGCGTTCTTTGAATGTTATAGAAATAATATTTGCAATATTGGTGTAAAGGTGCCCAGATCAGACCTCAGAATCTACTCTTTGAAGAGATGAGACCGTTTTCAGTGGTTTCTCCAATCAAGACCTGGCGAATACTGAGCAGTATCCTTACAAACAGACCACGGACCGCCCGCGATCTTTCTTCCTCGTCCTTGCCCTATCTTCACCTCTTACTTACACACACACACACACACACACACAGACACACATACATTTTTACATGCACTACACTACCACATGTCGGGAGAGAAATCGGGAGCTCAAAGCTTGTCCCGGCTGGGGCGGTGCCCCTCTGGTCGGAGATACCTGGTTGTGGAAAACTCCGCAAGCCGACGTGTAGATCGGTGTTAGATCTTACTTTCCAGCGGGGGAAGATTACCGCCAACACCCGCGAAAAAACATACACTACACTTTCGGAGCTAATTATCTTAACAGTTCACGAACCCGGAATCTAATGAATCAGTGAATCAATGGAAGAGATGGCAGATTAACAAGCCCAGCCTACCAGAAGGACAGGCAGCGCGGAGTCTCGCCGCCGGCCAGCTCGGGCGAGGTGAACCACGCGCGGCTTCCCGGCCGCTGCACGTTGTTGCGCGCCAGCGTCATGAGGAAGCCCTTCTCGGAGCCCAGCGTGTGGTCGTGCGTGGACGTGCGCGTCGCCTGGCCGGACACGCGCTCCCAGTCGATGTCGTCCACGCGCTCCCGCTGCGCCGCGTTGCTCCACGCGCACTCGTCCACCTCGAACGTGCAGTCGCCGGGCATGGCGGCCGCGATCTGCGGCTGGGCTGCGCAACGCGACACGCGCCGGTTTCACTGGGAGGAGCAGGACCGGTTGGCACGGCTTGTGTGTAATGGCGCGACGTTGTCTCCGAACTTCAGAATATGGGAGGGAAATATATAAACGAGAAGGTATTTCGAGGAAGACTGAATAAAAGTAGGTGAAGTTTTCTAGTGCAACAAAATTCTTGGCATCAAGTTTTAAAACAACTGGTTAAATTTAACAACCTGTTTAAATAATTTATCATAACATAGTGTTATTTGGCAAACAATTTGTTGTTGTTATGAAACTTTTTGAATTTATGGCTACGTTCTCAGAAACCACAAAATTCCAGTTAATTTCCTGGTCCCTGTTTTTAATCCGCAGTTATATTAGAGCCTTACATTTGAACGAAAGTCATGTAAAGAAAGACTTGTTTCAAAATACTCTTTACAATATATACCATTGGTTTGCCAATGCACCAAGATTCATATCATAAATGTTTCAAGAATAATTTAAATTTTTATTTCGAATGGAAGTTATGACAAAAATTTGGTGAATTCCAAGTTAAGGGCGATCGATTTTTACGAAATTTGATCGTCGCTGTTAGGATTTAGAAAAGAGACTGTTCTAAATATGAAAAATTGAAACAGACAATTATAGAACCCAATTTGAAAAATTACATGCATTTTATTTTAAAAGAATAATTCCAAATTCATGAAATGACAATTTTGTGCCAATGAAGGGACGACTTCACATCGAAACTTTGAAGATTTATATTTTTGGATCTCCGAATTTTCATATATTTTGGTTAACAGCTTTTGTACCCACGCGATCATACGCCTAATATAACCGGTTTAATTTTAAATATAGATATACCACAGACTACAAAAATTGTTTATTATCTTTGTGAAAATTTAATTGAGTAAAAGGTAAGGACTCAGCCCCAGTCTTCCCTATACGAAGTACTTAGAAAAGAAATGTTGTGCATTTTGAACCAATCGGAATCATTAAATGCTTCAGTGAACAAGACTTGTAAAGGTAGAGTTTAGAGCATGAAAAAATAAATAGCTAATAAATAAATCACATTGTAATACACTAATCTCTCGCATTTGTGATTTTGTCAGGATTATATGAGTGTCAAAGAACGATGAGCTTTTATTTTTGTTGAATTTATACGTGAATGCTAGGGTTGCTAAATGCAAATATTGCATGAAAATATACTTATGACCGTTACCGTCATAACAGTGAAAATTACTTCGCATCCCGTGCGACCGACCACCGCATGGCGCTGGATAGTCTGCGCCCGAGGGGTCTCGCGGTGGAACAGGCGGGCCGGCGCCCGCACACAAAACAAAAGCAAAATGCTAGATCTACGATCGTCCAAACATTTGTATTCGCAAAACATACGTTTGTCTATTTCTTAAGCTAAATGGTGAAAAGGAAGATTGATATACTCATAGTTCTGTTAATATGCAAACTGTTACGTAGATGTACTTACAAATGAAAAATTCCACATTTTGCCGTCACGGGTTATCTTGTTCTAAAATTGTTTATTTTCTGAGCGCCCGGTTGTTTTTATAACACATTTTGTAAGATTTTAGCGTGAGACAAAAATCGAGTTTGCTCACACTAATACACTATCACATAATCACACTAACACATACACTGCGCGATTTTATTCACGCAATTTATACGGCTTTTAGAAAAAGGGTTGCACCTAATTAGCACTAATTAGGATTAAGATTAATTATGGGTATTAACTTACTTGGACAACTGCCTTGTCTGAGGGAGAGATCATCCAGAGCGATGTCACCCAGATTGTTTTTGCCGACTGTTCCCTCAATGATAATCTGTAAGCAAATGCCATAAATATATTGTTTTAAAGGTTTATTTTTTTTATCAAAAACAGTAATAAATTATGTGACATATGGGGTACCAGAATTTGCGCAACATTTCTTGAGCTCCGGAATAGAGTTGATTCAGACCAAAATGCCATAACGTTACGAATACTAGTAACATCGCAGATATAACTTACAAGTGCATGTAACGCACATAGATTGGGGCCACAAAACCAATGAACGATCATTAAACAGGAAATTTAAGAAATGTTCCCTTGGTTAGATATCTATTTGCACGTCTACTGATTCCTTATCGCATGTTCGAAAGTTCAAAGAATGACAAATGGGCATTTTACTGAATGAATGACGCTAAGTGCGTATAGGTAGCTACACAGATATAATTTTATTACTGAAACAAACAATTCCTGCCCAAATAACATTCTCCCTTCTTCCTTATAACAATGATGTCCACATCAGAAAAGTACGACGTACCCACGCGAAGAAAAATGTTTCTCGTGTGAAAATTGCAGTGAAAATATGAATGTTGAACGCAGAACAGGTGCCAGCTAAAGTAATACACAAAGAAAATAAAGAGAAAATAATAATGTGTAAGGAATTGCGTTATCAAAAAAAATATATTTCTAAGGACTTGAGAGTTTCACGGAAGATATTAGAGTACAGGAATGTATATAAGGAGAATTTCCCGGGAAATATTGGTGACAATTTTTTGGAAGACATATACAAAGAATGTGGGTGCCGCTAGATTGCTTAAGTATTGTTCAACATACAGGATACTCGCAAAAATAGTTTGCGTCATTTGAGAGGGTAGGTCGCCTGGCCGGCTTGTCACCGTGAGCTTGAGCAATAAAGTGTCGAGAGATCCGGTGACGTCTGCATTTGTCACCGCTGAATTTTCGTCCGCCGATGAGGACAGGTCCAGTGTTCATTCTCGTTAAAGGCGGTGCCGGAGCTAGCATTCCCGGACATGGTGGTGTCGTCACCGAGAACGATCGGAACAGTTTGTGCCCGGCTCTATTGCAGGTATTTAATCGACTGTCCGGGTGACGCCGCGTCCATGGCAAAGGTGCGTCACACGGACAGCCAATTAAATACTGACTCCGGCCGCAGTATCACTACGCTCTGTATTGCAGGTGTTAATACAGGAATATGAAGGATATTATCACACGAGCGAGTGTTATAATCTGCATAAGAATATTTTGATGCACATTACATAGAGTTTCATACAGTACATTTTTTTTAGAAATGATAACTATTAGAAGTTAAAGCTTCACTTTAAGTGAAGTCACGGAAGATTTAGCCAACACCACTGAGTTGCCAACTAGCACCTAGATGACCTATAGCGTTTGGCTTTTTCAGCGCGGTTTATCGTCGGCTACCCGCGACTCGTTTCAACAGAACAGTAATTTACCAGAACTATGGTCAATGAGTAATTTCTTCTCAATTCTTGGTTTAAAAACTCTCTGTGGTTCGTAAAACAACTGTACAATAATAAATCTGTATCATAGTGACTATCATCATGCAATGAACTGCAGCCTCCCAATATGAAAATTATAAAATGAGCATAGACAAAAATATTATTATATCCTGACCCAATGGCCATGTCTGCGATGGATGGATGGATGGATGGACGGACGGATGAATGAATGGCGCAATAGATATGCGATAATGTTGATATAATAGGAATAATGGAGCAACGGTGGAATGCCAGGCAAGGAGAATCTGGAGAATCTCAAGAAACTCAAAAAACTGTATTGTAAATTGGTTGTGTCCATCACAAATGGCACTAGTAACAAGGTCATTGACCACACGACTCAGAGATGAAAAGCTAGAGCGTTGCTCTAGGGGCCACCGGCTGCTCCCGAAGCGGCTACTTGCCCGGAAGGAGTTGGGCGCGGACACGGGCACCTCCGCCTGGTACCACGCGTTGCCCGCCTCCCCGGCCAGCCGCCAGAGGTAGCGCGGCTCGCCGCCGCTCTCCTGTAGAAGCACGCCCAGCATGCCCACGCCGTTGCCGTACATGTGCGTCCAGAAGCGCAGGCACAGCGGGGAATCGGGACCTGCGAGCAGGAGGGAGCCAACTGCATTCCTTTGCTCTACGCTCAGCGCCATTTACGCATAAGTATAAAGAAGAACGGGCAATAGGAATTCAAAGTTTTAACAGGGAGTATTCTGAGTTTAGAATCTGGTTAACATCATCCTGGGTGCAAGATATTGAAACACAATTACCCGGATTTTTCATATTTCTATAGTATTATTAATAATCATAATACATAAAATACGATTCCAGTAGTTCATTTACAAATTGTGAATTATTTTTATATTCTTCTCATGCTGTCTTTGGGCTTCGCAGCTCGCTTAGCAAGCTCAGAATATACGCAACTGTTCGAAATGTACTATTACCTTGAAACAAATATCGTATTAGTAATTCATACCGAAGTATACATAATTAATATCCAAACTCTAATTATGTGGTAAGTTGAATCAAAAGCAAACAGGAATTTTGGTTTTAAGCGCTGAGAGGGGGAAAGAAAAGGACACGTCGTCTGGAGAGTATCAATTGATTTTCAAGTAACAACTCGTTCTCTAACCAGGCCGTCAATGCTGTTGCGACAGTCACAATCGCCAGTGTGAGAGAAACCCTCCATTGACGCGCAACGACTTGTAATTAAGTTTCTAGCGAAAGAGGTTGTAAAACCGTTCGATATTTTAAGACGACCGACGGCACGGTTTAGAGATAACACTGTGAAGAAGATGCAACTGTTCGCACGGCAAACATAATTTTTATAATGACAAGAAACATTTGGCATTGCAGCTCACTCACGGCGCCCACCTACAAGTTCGACAAAGGAGAATATCCGCCTTGTTTCTCGTCTGTTGGAGTTCTCTGCAAAAATGTTGCTGAAATTAATTCTGAACTCGAAGTAAGTTATGGCAGTGCTTACTACATTTTTACAGAAAACCCGGGGTTTCGGAAAGAATTCGTAATTTGGATACCCTCTTTTCTCCTTTTTGACCCTAAAATGCTGTCTTGAAATAGCAAATGGCTCGTGACACAATACCAGAATAAAGGGGATGATTTTTCCATCCCTCTTTTATCTACGATAAAACATGTAAGCACCATTACCTCCTGAACAGAGACAATCCAGAATAAAGTGGTGCAAGGAGTTCAAATCTGCACTTGCGAAAGCCAAAACTAGACTCTGCGGGAAAGGTTCTTGCATCGCTCTTTTTTATTTCAAAGTGGTTGTACACATTGATTTTCTCCATTAACGTCGTGCTGTAAACGCTATTTCCAACTTCTGGACGTAGCAAACATGCATATAATCAAAATACAGATTTCCACCCCCCAAAGTGATCCTGCTTTATGACAATTCACAGCCACATACCGGAGCCCTAACGAGACAAAACGTGTGGTATGGTCCTGACATACATTAGAACATTCACTTGCGAAAGGGTACTCTGGAATTGGTACAGTGCGAATTTAATTTGTTCGGACCGCTGAAAGAAGGCCATAGAGGTCAGCTATTTGAAAATGATTTTACTGTTGAGGCGTCCGTGCTCATTTCGCTGGTGTCTCAACCATCTTCTTTTTATGAGAGCGTTATAAAAAAACTATTTGTTGAGAAAAATGTGTTTTTAAGTCAGGGGAGTATATATAAAACAAAGCATGTTAACATGTTTGTATGGTTTTGAAGGTTCAATAAATATAAATTTAAAAAATACTGTGCGTATTTGATTCATTGACACACAATTCCGTGTAGACCCATTTCGCTGCGCCAAGAGCTTCGAGTCGGAGAGTTTGGTTCTGGATGGTATCGACAGGGATGTGGAGACATGCCGACTCCAGCGCCGTGGCTAGCTACGCTATGATACTTGCCTGCGAATCCTTAGCGTGAATAGCCTGATCGAGATGGTCTCACAGATCGATTGGGTTTTAATCGGATAAGTTTGATGGCCAGGGTGTACTGTAAACGCATCCTGGTGCTCTTCGAACAACGCATGTACACTACGAGCTGTATGCCTCGTTGCATTTTCCTGGTGGTAGATGCCGTGTTGCTGGAAATACAATCTGCATTTAAGGGTGTTCATGGCCCCAAGGGTGGCTGCATACTTCTCTTGATCCATTGGGCCTTCCAGAATGATGAGGTTACATAGGGAATGACACGAAAACATTCCCCACACCAACGCGCTGTCCACTCCGGCCCGGACTTGTCCGATGATTATTGTAGGGTTTTTGTGTTCAGACGTTTCACGCCGTATATGCCAACGAACATTTGTCCGATGGAGCATAAAACGTGATTCATCTGAAAAGGCTATCTGTCGCCACTCATTGGAGTATCGTCGTGCAAATTCCAGCCTTCGTCGCCGATGAATAGCAGTCAGCATGGGTGCATGAACCCCTGCTGTGGAGACCCATACGCAGCAATGTTTACTGAAAGGTTGTTGAGAAGACCTTGTTGGTAGTCCTAAGGTTCATTTGGTCGGACAATTGCCCTACAGATGCATCTCTATTCTCTCGTACACATTTACGAGCCGTCGTTCTCCCCTGTCATCTTTGGACCGTGGTGCACCACAGTTATCTCGGTGCCAGTTTTGGATATCGCCATTCTACCACGCACGGTATACTTTAACTACGGCGGCACGCGAACACTTTGCAAACTTAGCTGTTTCGGAAATGCACCCGCCCTTCGCCCGAAAGCCAATGATCATACCCTTTTGATCGTCCAATAAATCGCTCCCTTCTGCATTGCTCTTTTCCGCTTCCATCCGACACGCATGTATGGCCTCCGATGTTATTGCTGACACCTGCCGTCTGTGAGGGTTATTGCACGTTTACGTCGAACATGGGCGGTGGTCTCAATAATGTGACTGGACTGTGTGATGGCGCACGGCGCAATTATAGCCGACTGAATGAAATAGTTAAATCGTTCGAAGCAAGGTTCTTAAAGTAGTGATTTTAAGCTTTAATGCCATATAAATTAAAAGTATTTTCTGTCGAAAAATCCAGCACACATTTAAAATATTTTCTCTTATTAACTAAGAAAACTTATTGTCGAGCTCTGTTAATGAAAAATAGGATAAATTTCATTCTTATATTTTTATTGAATTACGTCGTCTATCAAAATGTTAATTTCAACTTGAGATATCATAACTTTTTGACGTATGACTGGACATTTTCCTTACACTTTTACTCTGACGACATTATTAATCTTTGGAGTACATAAATTTCCAATTTCATCAGCTCTGCGGCAATCAAACTTTTTATCACTATCCTTGTGATAATGGATATTATAGCTTCACAAACAGTAAAATGTTACAGAAAATAGGTTAACAACATTTTGGCATCTGCATTCTTGCGGTCTCTTTATTCTTGCATTTCTAGCATCCACATTCTGCTTAGTAGTTGCTGACGAAACATCATACTTATCTGTGATGCCAACCCTTAGCCTTTCTTGAGTACTGAGCGTATGTGGAGTAATCATCCGTCAACGAACTTGGTATTTTTGTCTCGTCACGTCGCAGTCAGTCAGTGCCTTTTATTCCTTTGGTCAGGGACTCGGCCCCGTTGGTAAACAGGTTCCAAACGGTCACCCATCTGTGGTATCTTGAACTTAGGTAAGTGGTGTCTTCCGTGGTGTCATGGAAGCAAATTGGTTAATGACGCCGGCGTGCTATTGCCAGTAAGCTACTTGTTAATCCTAAGTCACTAATCCTCTTCAATGAACGCATCAGTGCCATGTCGCAGGAAGTTCATATCCAAAAATTTTTTGACCTTCGGATTATAAACCATCGCTTGGTTACAAAACCCTCATATTCTTGATGACAAAGTTTCGTTTCCAGTCCAATCACATCTTGTAATTATTAATGGAATGCTTTTTCATAAGGGAGTTCACTGACATGAAAATGAGGCAGCGTATTCTTAATGAATTGTAAATGTAACAGTCAAACTTCTCTCCTTTCAGCATGCAGAAATTTCTTTACAATAGTTAGAGTTTTGAAATATATATACATATATAACCCACAATCGCGCTTTACCATCATTGTTAACAAATTATTCTACTTTTAATCACTCCATAATAATTAAAAATATAATCTAGTAAGAAAATATACAAATTTTAGTTGTTTTTACAAAGAAATGAGTGTTTTGAGACAAAGTGTAGAAAAACTGGCATTTTTGGACGTAGTATTTGTACAAGATCAACTGCCAAACATCGATGCTCAATCGACGCAGAGTTTACTATTCAATCATTTTTGGTAAGAATAAACGTTTCGATTAAACGTTTAGTTTCGGAGGAATTTGATTAAATTCATCAGAAATAGTAGAAAAAATTATTGTACTATCATAACTACTGAATCTCTAATCCAAATAGGGGCAAACGCAGATTACTTCTATCAGAGACCTGTTTGAGTGATTGAAATAAATTTCAGAATTCCTCCATCTTTTGGGACTCTTTTTGAACCTAATTTTACTGTTCAATTAATGTTCATATGATTTCTGGTATAAAGCGATGGTATTACAAAACATATTTAACGGCAAACGGTCATTATCATAAATAACAATCACGGCTGTTACAAACCTCGGCTACCGCCTAGGTTTACAAACTTCAACCGCATCTGTTCCTTTCGGATTTGTTTTGCCGCTCGTGTTAAGTTAATATTATATACAATAAGGTTTGATGTTCGGTGTATTATCGAAAGCATTAACCCCTATTGCTCCCTGGAAGATAATTTCCAATGCAGAAAGTTCCTAGAATTAGTGTAATGACCATGGCGGCCTTCAGTTCCGGGGATCCGTTTGGCATGTAACAGAGGGCATTGTCCCCTCCTTCAAAAGAATTCGATTTCCATTCGTTAGTGAATTTTTGTGGATTTCAGAAAGTGGCGAAATTTCTGAAATATGGCAAAACCAACGCTATTAGTTCCCAGTGAAAATTGATGAATTTAATAATACATAGGCAGAGTACGATAACGAACGTAAGTTGTTTTTACGACAGTGGTTAATCAATATGTTTAGAAGAGTGGAGTTACACTACAAAGTCTTCGTCATTTTATTTTCCTTCACTTTGTAATTTTATCGTTAAATTGAATACACCATTTCCCGTTGTCGAGAATAATGGGAATCATCTCATATAGTTATATTTGCAGTAGATAATTTGCATGTACAATTTTTTTATTCTGTTGTATTAAATTCTGTTTTGATAAGATTTATTATGACTCATGAGATAATGCTGTATGTTTTTATTATAACTGTTCGTTCATCTATTCAATAGGAGGCTATACACGGAGCAATTTATCGTCCGATCTGAGAAGTTTATTGTTAGATCTCCGAAATTGTACTGATAAATCGCTTCTTTAGGGGAGTGTAGATACTAATAAAGTTGTACGATAAATCACGAGAATAATTTGAAGCGATACGTTTTTGTTGTTTGACATAAAACAAAAAATAATCTGCATATAAATCTGTCAAAATATTTGCCGATATTTCTAAACCACATTACGACATGTTGGAGCTCTTTTGTGTTTGAACGGCGGTAGGATTGCATACTCGTGGTAGTTAAAGAAATAGCGAGCAAAGAGTTTATTATGGGTTAGTATGGGAGTTATTCCTACATCATCATAATCCGTGTCATTAATGGAAAACGACTAGTTCTGAATATACATACAAAATTATTTTTAAAAAGTCGATAATGAGTTAGTTGCGTATAGCAATAGGTTGTTTAAAGAACCATATGTACAGCAAAAAGTACAAAACCTTGGAAAAGCTTTTCGGAAAGTGGTAAGAAGAGTAGAGGAGTTTAAAACAGAAGCGGAGCTGGAGGTGATAATATCGTAGGCAATTGTCTAAGAAGCGGCGTCTCTTTTCGGTAGCCATGTTTTGAACCAGTTTGAACGATTCCTTGTTCTCCTTTTTATTACCATCTTTTCAATAAATAACGCACCAGTTTCGTACGTGTTCAACTTTTACAATGAACAAATTCAAACTCTCGAACAACTCTTCAATTTCAACGGTTAATTGGTCATATTTTATAAAATGTCAAAAGATAACCAATTACAGATAAATTAGTTTTGACCAAATAATCGTTATAAACAACACATACGTAGAAGTAAACTGGACCAATTAATGTCAGAAGAAATATTCGTTCAATGAAACTACGTTAATAGATCATATACGATTTAACTGAGAAATTTATTTTAGCAATTTAAGCAAATATTATTTGGTGCAATTTATCGCAACAGTAAATTATTTCGTTATATCCCGCTATTAATTCAATCCATGACAAATTTAAAAAGAAATTGCATTAGTAAATTTCAATAGCTAGAGCGTCAAGTTTTCAACTATTTTCTAGTCACAGTTGTACACTCATGTGCTAATAATGTATCTGTTTCTTAAATGGTCTTAGAGTATTATATTAAATTTGTGAATGGAATTTTCGTGATGCGATCGTCATCATTAAAGGAGTACCTGTAGTAGAATGGCAGTCTTGGACGTAGAAATGCTCTTGAATCATTACACTAAGAACTTAAATTTTTATTATTTGACCCTTTCCCTAAAACTACACTCCTTAGTTGATCATTTGGCCCGATTATTCTACATTTTCAAAATATATCCATGAGAGATGCAAGCCATTCCTATCCCCGTCTTATTGAAGCCAAGTATCTCCTTGTTTCATTGAATTTGTTTTTTAATATCTAAATATAGTTTAGCAATCCACAAAAAATATTTAATTATATATAAGGTACTGTTTGAAGTTGTTAATTGGTCAGTAAGTTAGTTTTAAATACCTATCTATAAAAGCTTAATTATTCGTTAAAATCGGTAAAAACACCTAGTTTTCTCTTTGATGAATAATTTGTATCTTTCAACCAGAAAACACGGTATTTGCAGAACATTTGGAATATTTTTAGTTTAAGAAGTTTTTTTAGTATGTAGTTATTAATATGAATTATATATCAAGGATTAAAAATATTTTGTAAGGGATAATATATTGCCATTTCTTAGTTGTCACGATATAAGAGAATTCAAAAGCATGCTGTCAAGATTACTAAAAAGAAACTCAATAGGATTTTGAATGTTGTTTTTCCTCCAGGGGAGAATCAATATCTGGATTAAAAGTTGACAGATTTAGCCTCAAGTTTTTTTCAATGTTTGTTTCTGTACTCATAAAATAACTTAAGTCGGGAAAGTGCGTTCATGCACATAAGTGGTGGCGAAACCCATCAAACATCCCAGTGCGAATTTGGCAACTTCTGAGTATCGTTGTCAAACATTTATACAGAACGGGAGAGATGATACTGTTAAAAGAACTGGTTTTAAAGGCTGGTCATATGATAGTTCACTTAACGAGCTTCATTTGATGGTAGTGTCACTTTCGTTATGTGGTCTTCTGACTTTGAATCTTGACACTCTTGACCGTTCTGCGGCCACTATTTCGCTTTCCGCGGCCCATTTGTGGGCTGCGGTCCAAAGGTTGGGAACTGCTGCCATGCGGTTGTGCATACCGGTGATTAGAATGCCACGGGTTCGAGCCCGACTAGGTGCCGCATGTTGTACTAGACATCAGCGTATTTTATCTATGTGTATGTGTAGAAAATCTTATCGTTGTTTACAGACAGACGACCGTTTTCTTCTAAACCAAGGACCCAAGAACCCACAAGACCTGGCCTCTGATTACAAAATGTGTCAGAGGAAGTAATTTATTACATATGGTAAAAATTATCCAGTTTATCGTTATCAGGTACCAACAAAACGAGTTTTTCTGTACAAAAATAGCCATTTTTCGCTGATGCATTACAAAACTTTCTCTTCATTACTTAGTAGTAGGCGAGGTAGTCAAAACGAAAACAATATCTAATGTTTCATTTTAAAAAAACATATCAATGTATGGTACTGTTATGTGAGCGTCTTGATATACGGGTGAATTTCTGCTGGGTACTCAATAGGAGGGGACAGAATTTTCACTAGGTAATAAGATTCATCTTGTATATTTTTAATTGTACAACCGTTACTTATACAATCGTAACTCGATAAAAATGATTTTTCCTTTGCCTTAGGTCACTATGGCGGATGGTCATACGGTCGGCCACACACGGCTAGGGTCCCAACAGATATTCTGCGGCAGTTCTTCTGAGAGGTGTTGGACCTATAGTGTGGATCTCGCTCCCTAGCGATTTCCATATTTCCTTACTCGTCAGGAAATTCCTGCCCTGTCAGCATTACCCGTATTACAGTGACGCACATTTGCAAACGCTGTGAAACACTCGTACCTGTTGCACGCGGAGACTTCTACGACGCAGGGAGAGAAATGTTGATTACACGGTATGAGAAATGTTTCATTTATTGTGATGATTATGTAGCAAAATTGTTCAACACGTGCTGCATCTTTTTTAAGGATGTTTTACTATGATTCATTTTGACGACCTAAGACATCTTATGTTCTGGATACGCCTCCTACTAAATGCACGTTTGAAATTATCATTTCTTTTACTTTTAGTTTTTTTTATGATTTATATAAAGTTTTACAGGACATTTTCAAATTCGTTTTTTTTGCACACTTCGGGCGTGGATATAAATTAAATCGACTTTGACCTAGTGAATGTGAAGCGGTTCCTTACATAAAGCGTCCCGGCGCGGGGGCACGAGCCGTGGGCTCCGCCTTCGCCTACCTGTGGGTTCCATCTCCGGGCTGTTGAGGCGCGCCGTGTCGCCGGGCCGGCGCGGGAAGCCGCTGTCGATGTACGCGTAGCCTCCCTCGGCGCCCCCGTGCTTGAAGCTGGTGCGGTCCGTGGCCGGGCCCGTCGACGGGTTGCGGCTGCCGCGGCCCTGCAAGCGAGATCGAGCTGTCGAAAAGAGGTTCAAGTCATTCGCTTAACGCTCTCAAACCAATGCCATTACCGATCCTGCTAAACATTAGGAGGGAGAGGGTCAACGGCTGATCCCAGAATAAATTGCAATAGAATTAAAGGAAATAATGTTAAATATTTAAGACTTAATTCTGTCTGTATACAGTAATGTAATTGATCATTTTATGCAAGTTTGTGATAACATATTTCCATTTTTTGGATGTATAGTAAATCCGCATACGTATTCAAACCTCGTTATAAAGCGAACGTTCTTTCACAGCACTTATTGGCGCTATAAAGAGGTTGCTGTTGCAGCGGTCACCAATTTTCTACCCACTAATTTGTCACCCATATTTTTTGCTTACTTCTATATCAGCTGCAGTTCCATTTTAAGTTATGTTTATTTGGGATATCCAAACTACCAAAACATCTTCTAATTTCTTATATTTTGCACATTTCTTAGAAGACACATGTTTCCCCCATCCACTGACGTTTTATTATGTTCAGGGGTGGATCCAGCCGATAATTTTTTTGGTGGGGAGAAATCGTAGTTTTTTGTTAAATAATAAACATATTTGTTATTATGTTGTATATATTTCATGTACTGTATATCTGATACTATACTATATTATTGTTTAAATAATTATATAATTCGAACATATATATTTAAATGAATTTTTCCAAATAAAGGAAGGTAAACAAAAACTTTAGGCCTTTTGTTTAGGGGGGCATGGCCGATCCGCCAGTGCCCTCATTTATCTGCTTATCGGTTTACCCCACAGTAATAAAAAAAATGATTTGAAACATTCTGCTGTCCAGCAGAAGGAGTTTCGTCTCTGTAAGCTTACAACTCACGCTTCTATTTTGCAGTCAAATTCGTTCGCGTGATCATTGTGCACACACTACCAGCAGGTTGCTACAACTGCTTCCTTAGAATTACTAAACCAGGTTTATGAAGGCCATGAGAACTGTGGACCACTCGTAGAGTTCTCAGATGGTGGAGTTCCTGGGAGGCGAGCGAGGTCGGAAGGGAAGGGATACTGCTAGCAGTTCTTCCCGTGTACAAATTATCCGAGAAGAAAGCGCTTCTAACTTTGTCTATACCAGGCGTGTCAAACTGCGCCCGAACGAGATACTTGCCCGCCTGGCAAACTCGGGGCTCCTGCGGTCACGGGCAACTTCCTCTGACTGGACTCTCATTTTCACCAGAAAGGGGCGCACACGCAGAAGCTAAAACGGCGCAAGGCGGAGAGTAGGGGCTTCAATATATGTTTTCCAGATTTGTTCTTCCAAACAATCGAGATTAGAAGTATGATAATATTCTTTACTATTTATTATTACTTCATGTTTTTTTTATTCTGCCTGGCATAAACATTTTTGTCTAGGAACAAGAATATTGTATGTTCGAAAGGAGAATTATTTTATTGTTTTCGTTTGGTGTTAGGTTTCATTAAATAATTTATTTATTCGTTGTAGCAATAATGTGAAATAGATTAACAAGTCTCCATAAGTTAACAATTATCGCCTGCTGTAGCTCTTTCAACAGACAACTCTGTTGTCTGTTAAAGCTCCTTACTGGAACGTAGTACGTTAAAGCATTTATTGCACTCTCAAGTAAACCCTATGGGAAAAAAATTGGCAATTTTAAATCTGATTGATGTGTTATCAAATTTTAATATAAATTTAATTTTTAATATAATTTTAATATAAATTAATATAAATTAATATAAATTTAATATAAATTAATTTTTTATTAATTATTTTAATATAAATTAATTCATAACTTCTTTGATTTAGTACAGGATACAACAATTAATATAGCTGAATTTAAGGCAATAATTGGCAACCGACTTCTCTAAAAGACTGACATAGGCCTTGAATCCTGTGACGTACCGCTACTCCGGAGCAATTTGTACAGCCCTTTCTGTAAATCTTGCGTCAATTTCTCTGGTCGTAGTGCCCGCGAACTCTTACTATGCTATGTACTTGCCTTACCCGCGACCTTGACATGCCTGGTATATATGGTCCGTATCTCTGCATTCCATGGCGAATGGTAGTAGGAGAGGTCGTTTCATCAAGGTAACTACCATGTACTAGTAATACAAATGATTGCTCCTTGCTTGCAATGGGCGATAACTGAGGAACGCTGCATGCAGGTTTGGCTTTATTTTGGTCATTTTCTGTACTTGCGGTCCTTTACGCGGGGACATCCTTTTTTTGAAGAACTTCAACATTTACAATGTTGCTCCGATTGAACAACTGTTCTCTATATCGTCAGACACTGAAATAAGATTGCCAGGTTTTGATGAGCGGGACTAACTCTAAGAAAACGCCGAAGTTTCCATGAAGAGATTGAGCATGGCGACGTTTTCGTATTATTTTGTAATGATCCGTTAGCCCTGCATAGCGCGCGCCAGTTTTTACAACGATTCAGCGCATACGGGGGTGTTTGAACCGCCCATCGATTTTACTTTCTCGTATACGTATGTATATAAAACTTAATATAGGTAGTATACAGTAACTTATGTAATGCTGCAGAATATCGATTTCGAGATTTCAACGTAAATACTCGTTTTCAGATCCCTTAAACCGAACTTGTGTTTTTACAAAGAAATTTACGATTGTATTCGACGGTTGTATTCGACTTGGTTGAGTTTTTTCAGATTTTACTCAACTGAGGTAATGATGCTGTTTCCCGGAACCTTCTTTTACTGGAATGAACTAATGTTCGGATTCAGGTAAAATACATTTGATCAGGCGTGTAAGCTCTTCAGTTTATTAGTCCTAATGTTGTGAATGATAAGTTGATTCCCAATGCGCGAAAAACGTGTCATTGAAATATAAAAAGACTGAAACAATTTAATAATAAATTTTCGATTTATTAGTTAAAATTACGTTAATATACCCTAAGTTATAGTAGATCTAATAAGTACTTTAACCGAAATTAAGTGGATCATTGAATTATTTTTGAGACTACTGTCAACGCAGTCTCTGTAAGCTTTGCCTATTTGCATGGGCATATCGAAATGCATGTTGTGTAATGCTAATATTATGGGCTTTCAAGAGATTCTCTCGTCATACCTGCATTATTTGCTCGCTCATCGAAGTAGTCAGCACTGGTTTGAGTACATCGGCTATAATCTCTAATACAAGAGCGTGCATTTATATTTTGCGTGATAAGCACACATATTTGGACACGACGATTAATATCCCATCATTCATTGCACGTTGAAACAAAGCAGAGGAAAATGATACCCGGGCGAATACAAGTGATCAGTATTACTTAATTTAAAATTACTGAGTAAATATGTTTGCAATAATGACAATAAAAATATTACGGAAGAATTTAATTGTAACTTAAAGAGAACGTTGCACATTACTATCTCAGCTGGACCAAAATAGTACTACATTAATAAAAAATTCTACATTGCTGTACCTTTCTACTTAAAAAGAACAATTCACCTGAAGGGTATTTCTCTCTTGTTCGTTAATGAGCGCAACGAGTTCCAGTACATGTTTTGCTTAACAAGATGTTCTATTTTTAATATACGGAAAATGGGGATGAGAAAAAGCTGTAGAAAATATCGACTTTTCTTGTAATAAGCGTATTTAACAATGATTTTGTGACATTTTGTTACTTTTTTTAGTAATTTACTAATTTAAAGTGTCTCAGGCGTCAATAAATTAAAATAAAATGTCTTGTGACTTGATTTTCCCCCATAAAATTGCTAGCCTGATCTGTTTAAAGAGTTAATTTTCTTTTAAATTGGAGGTATATTTGAAGTAAGTTTCAAAGCAATTCCATTAATATTGTTGTTGAGAAACATTGGTGAATGCGTGAACAAATTTAATTATTCAATATAAATAAAATAAAATAGAATGAAATCTACAGAAATATATAGTATTCCTTCTGAGAAATGATTCATCCAATTCATAAAACTAAAAAAAAAAAACTTTCCAGTTATAGAAAGGTTTCTCTAATCCTTTTACGTTGGCGATACAGCATTATTGTCCAGAGAGTCCAGGGATTCGTGTTCCAATGGTGGCAGAATTTTGATCCTAGCTACATAGTTGGGTCGAATTTAACCAATTCTAGTGGCTGGCTGCTAGTTTTCCTCGGGTTCTCCGATAAATACAGGTGGATCGCGGAGCAGTGCCCTAACAAGAGGTCCGCGGACCGCGCACGATCTTTCCTTCCTCTTTCTTGTCTTGTCCTCTGGCCTTACTAACACACGCACACACACACTTACGAGCAGCCTCTGATCGGGAGGTTCTAGATTCGAGTCCTGATGATATCAGGATATTCGTCTGCAGGAGAATTATAGCGGCCAGCTCCTCTGATCGATTTCCGTGATTTCTCTGATCAACAACAGGCGAATGTCGAAGCTGTACCCTAACAAACGACCACGGACCGCGCGCGATTTTTCCTTCCTCTTCCTTATCGTATACTCACTTCTTACTTACTCACACTTAAACTTACAAGCACTACATTACAACACATGTCGAGAGACCGGCGGGGAGTTTTGAGCTTGTCGCGGCTAGGGAGGTGCCCTGCTGGTGGAAGACACCTGGTTGGGAAAACCCCGCTAGCAGTCAGGTAAGTCGGCGCCGAATCTCACCCTCCAGCGAGAGACGATCATCGCCACATCACGAGGAAAACCATGCACTACACTTACGAAAAAGTAGTAATTTACGCGGCCGGAATGACTTATCAGTGAATCAATTTACGAGCACCACACTACCACACATGTTGGGAGGCCAGTTGAGGGCTTACTCGTATAGCTATACTTGGAAGAAGAAACCTCGAAAGCCGATGTGTATACCGGTACCGAACTCAAGTTACAGCGGAGGAGGAAAATCACCAATACACCATGCACTACATTTATGGGACTAATGAGCTTTGTAGTTAGCGCGCCCGAAAACAATATTTACACAATCATTCACTCTATCCCATTCAGACGAAGGCAGGGATTCCTGAGGAAGCACATTTGTGTCAAGGTCTCACCAGCGCCCAGTCGAAGTCGTCTTCCTCGTCGTTGGTCCAGCCGCAGAAGCCGCCCTCGAAGGTGCAGTGGCCTTTGCACTGGCTGCCTTCTTTCAGTCCTATGTTGTCGAGGGCGTTGAAGCCTCGGAACTTGCGGTAGGCGTCGTTCACGTCTTTTGCCAGACCCTCAAACACGATACGATGGTCACTGTTCAGAAAAGCATAATGCCAATTATATCAAAATATTGTCACATTTAACTATTTATCCTCCAAATCATGAAACATAATGATAACAAAAATATAATGGTTATAACATGATTAAAATGTAATGATCGTAGAAAGTAGCGAAACCTAAAAAACATCCTTGAGAGAGAAATTCTTCTTAAAGATTTATTTTTCTACATGTGCAATCTACATGCTTTCTACATATCAATGAATAAGCAAAGCAGATAATACAATTAAGTAGTTTGTGTATGTGATATTATGTAATATATTTCTCTCCAGACGCCGTCCTCAGAGAGAAGAACAATCCCCAAATACACCCGTTGGGACCACCTGTTGCGTTTAAGTCTGGGTCTCCTAATGAAAGCCCCATCTCAACCCTTGCTCGAACAAAGAATTAATTCAAACTATTTATTCAGTGTTTGTTTGAAAATGTCCCAGAATTTGAAAATCCCGCTGAAGTTTGAATCACTAAATTCAGTTGTGAGGATAATTCACTCTAGAAAATTGGAGGAATTATCAGAAGATTTATGGTGCTATGGTATGGCACAAAAATTAAAAGAAACCAATAGTTTCAAATGACTTTTGCAATGGCTTAAAAACAATATGATTATAAATTACAATACAATCTTCGTTTATCTAGAAAGTATATAAAAATTAAATATCGAGTTTGAAATTAAATAACAACAAAGAATGGCGAACAACTTCTAGTTATAGTGGCTCCATTATTTCTTCCTGTGCTATTTTTAGTGGTATTACTAATAATGCTATCCGTAGCTCGCCTTTGTGACACTTGAACCGTGGCAACCAAACAGAGATCGACTCAAATTGCATTTACGCACAAAAAATCTTTAAACAAGTTATCCTCTTCTACATTGTCAGCTTGCGTCTAGACTGGGCATCGAGAAGCTCCCGGTCGCAGGCACCTGTTGCGTGCAAGCCTGGCTCACCTGTTGAAGGTGAAGAGCACCTCCGCCTCGCGCCACTGCTTGTCGGTGGGGTCCTTGGTGCTCCACAGCACGCGCTCGCCGCCGGCCTCCGGGTCGCCGCCCGCGGGCATCAGCAGCATCCGCAGCCCGGCCGCGCTCAGCCCGTCCACCCAGTAGGAGAAGGTGACGCACTGGCCCTCGGGCCCCGTCGACCCGCGCACCCAGCTGTCCAGGAAGGCGCTGGTGCCCACGCGCGCGTCGGGCGTCTGCGCCAGCGTCACCAGCGACGTCTCGAAGAACATGTAGCCGCCTGCGACAACCACACGGAGTACGGACCGGCTTAGGTGGCTCATTGATGGCACTGCAGTGCCTCTGACCGGGAGGTCCTAGGGTCTGTGTCGCGACGATGGCAGGATTTTTGCTAGACAGCCAGGTCGAATTCACTCGCTGTCCGGAGGTGAATAGCAGCTGGCTACTCTGATCGGTAGTTTTCCGTGATTTCTCCGACCACGATCAGGCGAATGCCGGAGCAGTACCCTAACAGAGTGGCCATGAACCGCGCACGATCTTTCCTTCCCCTTTGTCCTATTCTCACCCCTCACTTACTACATGTACTACACTACCACACATGTCAGAAGACCAGTCGGGAGCTTAGAACTTGTTCCGGCTGGGGCTATGCCCCGCCTCAGGGAGATACCTGGTTGTAGAAAACCAACAACCCATCGAGCAGTTCGTCGTCGGATCTCGCCATCCAGCTAAGGAAGATCACCGCCACATCCAACGAGAAAAAATACACTACACTTATGCTACACACGACGTTAGCAGTTGAAGCGCCCGAAATTACTAATTAATCAGCCAACCTACGAATTACGGGAGTGCGGGGTGACGGCGCGCCGGGTGCTGAGATAGCTCAGCCGTTTCACCGTTGCCTATACAGCAACGTTGATGGGGAGTTCTAGAGTTGAAGTTGTGATGGTGTCAGATTTTTGACACTGGCTTGAGAGTTGAATTTAATTAAACCACAGTCTGGGGAAGATTTCTAGCGACCAGCTGCTCTCATCAGTGGATTTTCGTAGATTCTTCGATTGCCAGGTGAATGCCGGAGCAAAACCTCAACAATGGGCCACGAACCGCGCGCGATCTTCCGTTCCTTAGCCTTGTCCTCTTTTCTTCCCTTACAGACATGCATTACACCACCAGGCCAATTGGAAGCTTGGAACTTATCCTGGCTGGGGCGGTGCCCTACTGTGGGAGATACTTGGAAAGGGAAATATGCACGCTGGCGTGTGGGTTGGTCTAGGATCCCACGTTTCAGTAAGAAAAGATCACTGCCTTCTCCGGGGGAATAACATGCATTATTCATATGGGACTAATGATCTCATCCTTCTACCGTGCCTGGAATCAATACTCACTCTATCACTCAGTTGGATCGGATTTGGAAGCAAGCTCTTACCACGAGGTCGGGCTCGGGTACAGGACGTAAGGCATTTTCGAATATTCTTTTCCGTCTACCCGTACGTAACTGTCCATCCCTACGAAACTTTAAAGATCGATTGTGAATCCAGCCCCGACACAGAAGTGTTGATAAGGCGAGACCCCGACGATAAGACGAGAAGTGTTGACTCGTGCATTACTCGTGTTTTCACTTGCAGGGGTTTCTTTCCCAATCTAATTTTGAATGTCTGTTGCTAGAACGTAATTTATTTACCAAACGAAATTCTTATTTGGTTTTAAATTCAGAAATATCTACAAAATATCATACTGTGTTAACTACTGTAAATGATTTTTGTGAAAGATAAGCAATTACGCACTAGATAATTTAGTACAAGCACCATGTGGATATGGTATTTTTTTAAATCAGCTCACAGGGTGGTGAAAGTGAAATGCCATTGACCGTGAAGTTATAAAATATTATCGTAAGGTTTTTATTATACTGATATTACTTGCACCATCATTAAATGTGAGAGCAGTTATTTATACTTTGAGATCATGCACCTATTTACTGTCTGAACTAAATATGTTAGCTACAATCAAATCTAATTACTTTTATGCACTTTTTAGAAGGTGATCTATCCAAAAGCACTGTTATTTGAAAATATCATTCGTCATTCAGAATATGATTCATATCATGCATGTGCACGCATCAAGCATTTACGAATGTTCAGAAATATTTCAAGTGCCATGTATTACAAGTAAAACGCGTAGAATATTTCAAATTACACCCATAAACCATACAGTGGTTATCTATAAAAAAGAACACTGGATTACTTGTATATGCAACCCCCCAGGGCAGGGTGATGGTAAGATGGGGTCATGCGCTATTCATGGTCCACTGCTATACGATCGCCCAAAGCGTGTCCCCTGCCACGCAATTCGCTTCATCTACATAAATTGTTTCCAAACGTCGTCTGGGCGATGTATTGGTAAAAATATTTGAGGAATTTTGCTGAAAAACGTTCCTATAAGGAGTTAGAATCTTCAGAAATGTAATCCATTTTGATTCGGAAAAGTGAACTACGTCACCATATCCTAATGTAATGCTTCGCCTCACAAAAAATAAAATTTATTATTTTTGATTGGTGCAACTACAAAAAATCTACGTTTTTAATTCTATCTTTTAGGATAAGCAAAACAACGGAACTGTATTTGCACTGATGAGAGCAATATCCTTGCCTATGAGCATTGCACCTTTAGACACCCGACATGCTGGGCGGGAAGCCTATCCAAAGACCATCATCATCATCATCATTATTATTACCATCATCATCATCAAACTGCTTATGAAATGCAGAGTGATATCAAATTTTGCCGATGAACTTGAAGGAATGGTGTTCGTTGGGAGGTGTAGATATGTTCTAAGGACGTAGAATTCTTGAGAATACACAATTAAAACAGCTGTATCTAGTTTTGCTACAACAACACGTACTTTCTTGCTATATTTATAATGTTTAAGTAATATTATAACACTACTGTAACCTGAAAAAGTGTTTCTAATGCGCACTATTTTTACTCACCCTGGGATTGGAACACACGAATTTAGATTTAGCAAGCTTTGAGCGTATACACTGTGCAAGGCAATGCACTATTATGCGTTTGGGTCCAAGGTGGGGGCGGTTGGGCGAATGCGCATTTCGCATGGAACAGAGGAGTTCGGGGGGAGCAGGGTTCGAACAGGGGAGTGCGTTCTTCGCCGCTCGCTCACCTTTGTCGTCGCCGCCGGAAGCGTCCTTGGGAGGGCCGCCCAGCCAGTTGGCCATGGGCCCGCTGCCCTGTTGCCACAGCAACGACGTCCCGTTGCGGATGGTCCACCCGCACAAGTGCTTGTCGTCCGTGCTGCCGAAATCGCAGTACTCTGCAAAAGGGTGGGGACGTACAGAGCGGCTCGTGCACACTGTTTCTCTCGGTCTTTGTTTCAAGATCGTGCTTGCGAACAGTGAAAAAGCTGATGTTGGGAAAAAGGAACAATGCAACCAATACAATAGACAGACCGGGACGTGCCATTAGTTCTTTTCTATGGCGTTTTTCAACCGAATTTCATTTAAGTAAGTGTCGGCATTGCATTTTTGTAAATAATCATTAGTAGGTTGCCTACTTCGCATTGTAATTTGGAGGTTTTCAAAATGAATTTGTAATTTTAGTTTGTGTCTACGTTAACCGAAAATGGAGACCGAAAACAAACTCGAATATTAATGAAAACAAGTTCACGTTAACATTCCGGAATGATATAAAAATTGATTCACCTCCTTCAATAGTAAATAATTTTAATAAGGAGAATCATGGAGGACTGATGTAAATATATCGAATTATTCTTATATTGATTAATTTTCACTTTCTTTTATTTAGAATGAAGCGTTTTATATTTTGTTTTATTTAAAATAATTTCTGAAAAGTTTTGGAAAATGTATGAGAAATTGTCAATTTATTTCATCCAATTTTCTAATGCTGAAAGAGAAATGCTAAATAAGTTAATAATTATTTGTGAATGTTGGCCGAAGCGCAAATGCAAATGTTAACATAAATAAGTTAACGGGAGAAAATAACTATATCTCCATTTAACTATCCCAATAACTATATCTACATTTCAGCTGCACAACTCAAACTCTTTTTGAACTTTCTTACCTAGTCTTTCCTCTTCTTCTTCTTCTGCATCCGGTAGCACCAAACAGAAATGCATGGCAACTCATTAAAGCAGCGCATATTAATAAGAGAAACGCAAAACAGGACACGCATTTGTTCCAGACATGCATGGAGTTCGCGCGCCCTAGACATTTTGCGTGATAAAGGTCTGGCTTCTCGAGGTAGCGCAATAAGTGCTCGTGGTATTGAATGATTGCGCATGCTTGGGGTTGAAGTGTGTTCCTACCGCAGGTAGACCGAATGGACAGGCATTTTCAAGACAAAAGGGCCGGACGGGCCCCTACGAATATTCTGCCTTTGGTAAATCATTGTTTTAAAAATGAAAATAATATCATACTGGATCCCAACTTCAAAACTTTCCGAAAATCCACCCTTCTAGAATGTACAAAGAAACATAAGTCGTGTACGATAAAAGTCACGAAAACGTGATTTTATGTATCTAGAACGCATCGTTTCTAAGTTATGCCTGATGGTAGCGTGTGTAGCAGTGTGACGTGTGTTGCAGATTGCATGCGCGCCTGTTGTTACCCTTATATCATGATCTGCGAACGTTTCTTTTCGTCTCTGTTTGATGCAGCACGGAGTGGGGTAATTACCTCCAGCAGTAACACACTTACTGGGTTTTTTGTAATTGGTTTCTTATAAATGGAACAAAACCGCCATCTTCTCTGAAGTATTATAAATAGAGATGTTTAGACATTTGAAGATAAATGACTTGTCGTTTATAGGTATCCGTCCAGATTTGAATTAATGGAACATGTAACGTCTCCATCTAAAGGTCAGAGAGACTGCCTCTTAAAATCATTCAGTCAGTCTTGACCCAAAGGAACTGGCGAGATACCTTGATTTTTGTCAATAGAAAAGTACTATTATGTAACATAAAATTGAAGGGAAATACCACTATTTTCAGAATATATAAAACTAAAATTGAATTAGTCTACATGAAAAGCTTTCGTAATTGTCCCGTGTTAATATTTTAGATTATGTTAATTGATAACAGCTAAAGGAAGTAAGGTCTAGAATTTACATTGCATCAGGAGGAAACGTGAGAATAACTAATAAAGCTGTATAAGTCTACTAATCTCGAAGATATATTTTCTCAGAATTGAGATGGATAGAGTTTACATTAGGATATTAATTAAGAGCTCAAAATAGAGTGGCCGTGGATTTAAAGAAATCTTGGAGTAAATTAAAATAGGCTTTTCACCCGGAGGTTTTAATATTTGCGATCGACAACCTCTAAAAATTATAATAATAGAAGGTAAATGTAAAATATAACGACAATCACAACCTGAAATTTTCGAAAGCAAATACGTAACTACGATACTATATAATTAAATAAAACTTTTATTCCAATCAAAAGTATTTGAATATTTTATTAACTATTTATTGAATAATTTTTAAGAATTCACTTAAAATTACTACACTTTCTACCCATGTTTTTGTAGTGACAAAACAACATTGACCTAGAATGACGCGTGTTATATGCTCGTATACAAGTAAAGCAGAGAAATATATTATTCTAAAATCAGCTTAACATTGAAAAGAAAACGAATTACCAATAAATTAAATTTCATTTTAAATTGATTTATATGAAAATGTGAACGACAGCAAAGATAGGCATGTAGCTGAGTAAAAAATAACACAGGATATTTCAATTTCTAAAAACCAAATAAGTAGAAAGTGGGGAAGAAATTGAGTCTGTAGCTTATAATTTATTGAAACACACTAAAAATAAATGTATGTATTTTTTTGTTTATTTTCTTCATTATTTTATAATTTATTCTTAAATAACTCTGGCCGTTATCTCTCACTTGGTGAGACCCTCCTTGGAAAGTGTAAGTGAGAAATTGTGGCTCTTCGTTCTGTGTCCTAAGCAGAATTTAATTTAAAACGTTTAGAAATCGTACTGAGAATTAAACATCCTGAATATTTTTAAAATAAAATATAATTTTGCATTTCTGCTCGTTAGAATAAAACATCCATATGAATTTCAGAAATTTTTAATTTTTTAAGTGAAATATTTTTAGTTAAGTGAAATATAAATAGTTATCTGGAAGTCCGTTTTTCTTCGTAACTTAATGTATCCAATTTATCAGACATTGATTTTCAAATTTCTGAATGTAAGTCATACCTTGTCGTTGAAGCCATTAATTTACATGTTCTTCATAAAATTTCATACTTTGGTTATTTCGAAATCCCATTTATATCTGCTTTCTTGTAAACCCTTTTGATCTGGCACCTTTCGTGACCTAGAGATGTCTTCCGTTTGGCAGAACCATTTTACTCCTTGTGCAGCCACCGTGGCACCTACCAGTCTACCGTTCCACCCCGTCGACGTGACTTGTGTGCCCATCTGCCATACAATGGGGCAAGTGTAGCTCGTGAGCTCATAGCACTTGCCCCGACTTTGCGGCACGTAAGCCATGACGTAGGGTACCGTAAACCGGGGTGACTTGAATGAAAGCAAAGTCGTACCCAAGTCACCCCTTCAGATGGTGTGACTTAGGTACACAAGTCTATTATCTTGATATTTAGGCTTTCGAAACGTATGTTTACATCTTACCCCACTGGAATTAATTTGGACCAAATAAAGAAGATAAAAATAAATAAATAAATTTTGTTTCGTTACAAATATAATTACAGGGAATTATTATTTCAAATCTACAATATAAATCTGAAGAGTTGAAGATGCCTGTTTTGGTGGGTTTATCCCTCCTGGATTGGTTTAGATTTAGATTTATTTAGTCAAAAAACAGTTAAAACTGTATGTGACGTATGGGGGAGAAGATCATCTGCGCACGTTTTCTTGAGTTCCAGATTCCTTTTCCATCATTATAACTAGACATTGTTGTTCCCGAGTTATAGAAAATTTATTTGCATCGGTAAATGAATTGCAAGTATGATTTTTCTGCATTGCTAACAAAATAGTTACTCGCCCTTACATCTACTTCTACTATTACAAGCGAGAGGAGAGTTCAACAAAACTAGCGCATAGTGAAGCTACATTTACATCCAGAAGCAAAACAAGGGGCCATCTCAGCATTTGCTCAATGCATCAGAGAAACTGGACAAAAAACCTGATCGAGATGCTGGTCATTGCCCGGTTGAGGTAGAACTGGATGATTCCCTCCTGAATTGTCTCTTATGTGCTTTTCTTTTTTTCTTGTATGTTCGTGGCGTCTTTTAAATGGGTGTGCGTAATAACGAATATAAAACACTGTCTTCAAGTCACCCCACCAATGTTAACATTTCATTAATAAATAAACAAAATGTTTTAGTTACATAAATTATCACTCACAGTTACCAACATATATGTACATGGCAAAGCAAACTAACTTCAAAACGAGATGTAACTAATAAGCACTCTACACAAAACTCTGCAAACCTTGAAACACAAGTTATTGTAAAAGTAGGCGGAAAAAAAGTCGTGATATTTTGTGGTGTCTGAGAATTACTTTTATTCGCGGAGGGTCATTCTAGCGACTGGTTTAGGAATCACCGCTCTATTTTATTTACTGTTACTACGACTTCATTTGAAATATATCGGGTATGTCCCCAAGTCTCCCTCCCCACAGTCACCTCAGTTTAAAGTACTTAAACAATTTTTGTCTTATTTCATTTAACTTAATATTTGTTAATATATGCATATATCTCATTTTTGTATGTTTGTTAATATAGACAAAAACCAATATGTATATATTTGTTAATATATACATATTGATTTATTAGATATTTGTTAATTTAAACATATTGATTTGATTGAAAATCGTTATGCCTTCCGAGGTGATAGAAGAATTTAACTTATTTTTAGTGCGCTCTTTCCTTATATTTCTTTCCCAACCCCTGTGGCGACGTTCTCCTTCCACAAAAGGGCGGTGAGCGTTGGCACTCACCCGCGGGCTCCTGCCGCTTGTCGCGCGCTGAGGGCCCGTCCTCCGCAGCGAAGTCAGCGGGAGCCGCGGGGGCCCAGTCGGGGCCTGGGCCGGGGCCGGGGCCCGGGCCGGACTCCGGGGCGAAGGGGACGGCCGCCCCGGCAGAGAGCCACGCGGCGGCCAGCGCCAGCGCCAGCGCCAGCTGCGCCAACGGCGACGGCGTCCGCCGCCCGAGCAGCATGCCGACCGGTGCCCGTGTACCCTGCGCTGACAGCCAACCCACGCGGGGACGTCGGCAACGCAGTCTTCTATGGCAAGAAATTGATGAAGATGACTTTTTACTTTTTGATGATCTGCTTTGACTTCACGATAGAACTTGGGAATATAATAAAAATTTTTTCTGAAGAGTTCATCAAATTAAAGAAAGACGCATCAAAGAATTTCTCCTGCGATCATTGTAAATCAGTGTATTCCAATCTCTTTTACACATTGCGGTGTCGTAAACCAATTCCTCATATTCGAGGGTGCCTTTTAAGATAACACCTGATTTTTGAATATTATGACTGCGATCTGGCGCACGCTGGCAAAATGAAAGAAGCCGGTTGTGCATGTCTGTTTTGCACATTGTTTCCTATAATCTTCTGAGAACATTAAAAATTGCTGATAACTTGTGTACTTATATGGGTATGTGGCACGAAACATTACGAGACATAATTTTCAATTTTTTATATTTACGTAAACACTTGCATTATTTATAACAGTGATTACGCTTGAAAGTGTCAAGAGTAAAAAATATATTTCATCAAAAGTTCTAATATTCTTGTAATTATCACGTTTTATAAAATACGGATAAAGTTAATTATAGATAAGATAATACGTTTTATAAAATACATATACATTGTTATATAATCAGTTATCGGAAAGAAATATGTCGATGTCTGGAAAAACGAAATGGCAGAGATTTGTATAACACGAATTATAGAATGTATAAATTAAAATGACAGAAAATTGAAAGAACTACGTATGTAGAAAAGTATTCTTAAGAGATAGGCAAATGATATATTTCGCAATTCTCATTAGATAGATCAATGGAATATTGCGAAAATAACATAATTAAATTCTATTAAATGCAATAAACGTTCATACATTTATTTTAAAATATCTTATATTTTATTGATTTACATATTATTGATCAAATTCACGAAACTTGTAATTAACCTGTAATGACCTAACTTTACCATATTGCAACACGTAACTTGTTTTAAGATTTAGGCAAACACACGGTCCTTGGCCAGTTGATATTTCCAGCACCATTTCGTCTCCCGGAAAGGGTGAGTGATTCATTTCAAAATATATTCCTTTTAGATATCTATAGTAAATGTTCTTGCAGTTGAAGGTTTTGTCCACTCGCGTTTTCGAATTAAGAAACGGATAAAAATGTTATTTTTCAACAAGTTTGTGAACGTATTTGAATGATACATTTATGAATGTTTGCTACAAAGGTTGCACTAAGCGTGTACTGTAGGCTATATGCTATTTAAAGATGCATTTATAATATGGGAAAATAATGTGGATCAATTTTGTATTTTTCACTTCCTTGCTGTCAATAAAGATTCAATTAAAACCAAATATTTTCCAAGAAAATTTACAATCTTTGTACTTTAGTTATAAAAATAATATTTTAATTACTTTATTTGTAGTAAAGAGGAATATGTTAAAAAAATTAATGTGTGCAGTCCAAATTGGAATACCGGCTTAATTTGCAATCAATCTCCAAAGATGGACCTCAAAACAAATGCTCGAGTGATAGTACAAAATTGAATGATCAGAATGTGCATTAAAAATATCACTAATCCGATTTATCCAAAAGGTATAAAAAAATTCATGTAATTCATGTAATCATTGAATTGGTTGAAAGAAAGTACCATTTTCTCAGGAAAATACCAAAGACAACCTACTCATTTAAATTCTCTCCCCACTCTAATAACTAAGGTAATATTGAGAAGCAATGATGTCAATATTTGAAAGTGAACTTGCCTGACAAGGTTGAAATCTTCCTATTAATTAAAATACTAAGTAAAGAAAACATTATGTACTGTAATTTTTATAGAATTAAGTAAAGCTAAGCTACGAAAAGTGTACATCTAACATGGTGGATAATATCTAGTGGATAGTATTAATCTCCGCAATTTATCTGGACAAAATGTTTAACACTGGGTCTTATTGTAAGACACCGTGTGTAAGACAGTAATCTACATCCCAGATACATTATATTTCTTTCTTTCCCGTTTTACATATTATACATAACGCAAATTCAATATCAACGCGATAGTTATTTGTGAAGAATTTTTATTTTTATTTTCTTGAAATATTTTTTCCCAATTCGATTGTTCTAGTTGATTTTTGAATGATATGCCCGTTATACCTGATCTTTATACTTTTTCGCTTCTTTGAAAAGACACCTCAGACGCATGGGAATAATTTGCCAATCGTTTTGACAAACCTTTCCATTTTTTTTATTTGTGTTAATGATTGGTATCATATAAGGGTTCTGAAGTTCCTTTACCATTTCCCTAATGGTTCTTGAAATAGGTTCGCTTGTTGTCTATTTCAACTGCCAGGGTTAAATGTCACGAAATATCGCATTATATTTACGTACTACATGCACGAATTAAAACCGCGTAAAAACGGTTTAGACGTACTGTAATTGTATAATACAGAATGTAAATAAAGTGACTATTCTTCAGTGGCAGATAAATAAATTGACATTTGCGTAAACACTTAGCTTTATTGTTAAGTAGCTTTGATAAGTTAATACAATTGGTCAGTATATAATAAAGTCAAAAGAATACGACTTCGAATTTACAATTGTTCTACTGAGAAATATCGAAAAAATTAAGGCACTAATCTAAGGCATACGTAATCCGGAAGCTCCCTGCTGGCCGGATGACGCCCCGGCGATGTTTCTACGATTGCATCATAATCCCTTCACAAATAACATTATAACTCGCTGAAAGCAAAAAAAGAAATATTTTGCATTATTACACTTTCTTAATAAATTTATTTCTGAATAATTATCTTTGTAAAATTAGTGAAGGGATCTTAACCCGCATTTCCAATTCAAAGAAAAGAGTCGGTAAAATATTCAGCTACTTCGTATACTTTTTTAAGTATACTTTTTCCTTCCGTTTATTAATTTTGATAGTACGTAATGGTTCTCTCTTTATTGATATTTGAAAAGTGGCGTTCTGTGTATGCACATATTAAAAATTTAGGTTATTTTAAATTGTATATAGAATTCATATAAAATAGAATTCGTAGAAGAATATTTGATGCAATTAATGTCTTTTGAAGAAAAAATTGAAGAAATGAATATCCTGAGCTTGAAAAAAGTTTTCCTGACTTATTCATTAGACTAGATAGAAAAGTCAATATGATAATTAAAGATATATGAATATTATCTATTCCTGCATTGCATCACAATTAACGTTAGGATCTCAGGTGCTTGTAAAAGAAGCACGGGAGACAACGCTACAAAGATACCAATGGCATATGGAAAAAAATCTCAATCAGAGAAACTCAGGTGTAATAAAAGCAAAAAAAAAATGAAAATATTTTAGAAAATAATGCTGATATTGGTGGTGACTATGTTGTACGTACGGAATCAATAGCAGATTGTCATAGTATGCAGCGTTCTGAGACCCGAGGAACGGTTGGCGAAATCAAGTACGACTGAAGAGGAGACAGTCAAATGTGCTCAAGATGAAATAGGGTGCAACGTGGTCTCGATTGGAAAAAATAAAGGGAAGAATGAATGACACTTAAAAATGCATACTTCTCTATTCATTTCAGAACTAAAATAGAATTCTCCATTTAATATATATTTTTTCTCTAAAAATGTAATGCTTACATTCTAAGAGTGCAACTGCTGCCCATTTGCTAACATTCTATGTGCAACTGATGCCTATGAGTACTTTGTGAAAAACTGTAAGTTCACCAACTGACCTCCTCACTATAGAAAGAGGCCTTAGATTTTCAGTGATCAGATAGACGTAATTTAAATAAATTGTTAATATCTTCTATTTTAACATTCAGGAAAATCATACTGATATATGAACAATATATCAGTATGAGTAATATTCATTATTGGTTATCTTTGTTTGCAAATGTAAAACGTTATTGATCTGTTTCTATATATTTTTATCTGTAATGGTCAAAGTATTTTTTGTGTCAAATATTCCGATTTTTGCCGTGGCCAGTGTTACTAGCAAAAGCTGAGCTTTATTTCGTACAAATTATTTTCTAAGACAATAAAAGTATCTATACTAATCTATACTTCAATTTGCATCCAAAACGTTTACTGTACGTTTGGCGAGATGTAGAGCAGTTGCACGAATACAAATTATTGAAATTATTGCGTTTATTGAAATTATTCTCATAGTAGACCTTCAGGAATATACTATTCATAGAGGGGGGAAAATAGGTACTACATGAGTCCAGAAATCCATAGTTGCGCTGACCAAAATTGTATTTGCTTTTTGGACACCTCCATGTTGCTTGTAATAGAGTATTACAGAGACGTGCAACTTTTAAGTGACGTTCATGAAATTCATCACTGTTGTACTTTTAAATTGAAAAAGTCTGCTTATACGAGTTATATTCTCATATTCTATACATTATATTCTTCATATATCATACGAAGTTTTCAAAGTGAACCACCTCCTTCCCGAATGTAGGCACTTACCTTTCTTCAATTGAAGGCAGAAAATCGATTGAAAATGTTTTATGTAGTGCCAGCAAACAACTATGCGCACGGGAATTGTGTTCATGAACGGCAGTCAGGTATACCATATACTAGATACGTTGGGTAACCATATAAAAATACGTACGGACTTTAAATGCAATTATGCATTTCCGTGCCCAAGTTGTCGCAACTTTTTACTTCATACTCCGTATAGAGAAAGTTATATAAAAGGCAGAGTATAGGTAAAAAGTCTTCATTTTTGACATAAAACGCGATTTATGTGACCCTGATACCGAGTTTTTCTTTCGCGCATATGTAGCACAATGAA